TTTAACATAATTTTTTCTTGCTGTGTGTCGAACCCGATACCTTCCAGTTACCAGGCAATTGCCTATCCACTATAGACTAATGTGTCACACTGCCAATCTCTATTATTTTTTCATATTGATACTTATCGTGTAGATGTAGCCAAGGACTTGGAACAATGACAGCATTATTTTAAAGTATTGTCCCTAAAGGTAGCCTGCTGAATAACTATTTATCCTTGTCTGGGAGGACAAGGCCTTTCAATATCCCCATGCATTTTTTTTTTTTAAGTACATAATAGAAAGAGCTATGTTACTCAAAGAAACTGATTTATCACATCCACAGGAAATCATGACACTACTTAAACTTTCAGAAATAGTTAAACAAAAAGCAATAGTTTTCGCTTCGTTTTAACAAAGCGGCTGTATCAAACCATTAATTGTTTTTTTTTTTTTTTTTTTCTTCTTCTTCTTTATCTTCTCTTTTCCTTTTTCTTTGCACCAATAAAACCCACATACTTGTAACTAATTTGACTATTTACTTTTTCTAACAATTCGGTGATCACCTCCAACATCACATGCTAGCTGGCACCCCCTCACCTACAGGCGCGGATCCAGGATTTTCTTAGGGGGGGCCCAAATGTGAAATTATGCGAGCCAAATTTTGGTACGTAATGGTGACCAGCAGTGACGTAATGCGGGGAGGGGGGGTGTGTTGCAGGGAGGGGCGAGTTCCCCCCTCCCTCCGTTTTCGAAAATAATTCCTCGTCTAAATTCAGTTTTTTTCCCCGCCCGCGCAAAGCGCGGGAGCTTTTACGATTCATTAACCATTAGAGAAAAAAGAACGATTCGTCGTTACAGTTCTCGACTCTAAATCCTCGTCTGAATTCAGGTTCCGCCCTCCCCCCCCCCCCCCCCCCCCCCCCCCACTCCCGCGCAAAGCGCGGAAGCTTTCGCGATTCATTAAACCATTAGAGAAAAAAAAACGATTCGTCGTACAGTTGTCGACTCTAAATCCTCGTCTGAATTCAGCCCCCCCCCCCTCCCGCGCGAAGCTTTTAAGTTTCATTAAAAGCATTAGAAGAGAAGAAGACGATTCGTTGTACCGTTCTCGAAAATAATCCTTGTCTGAATTTAGTTTCCCCCTTCCAACTCCCGCGCGAAGCGCGGAAACTTTTACATTTCATTAAATCATTAGAGAAACAAGACGATTCGTATTAACTTCTCGACTCTGAATCCTAGTCTGAATTTCTTTTTCCCCTAACGCGCGAAGCGCGGAATTTTTGACGTTTCATAAGATTATGAGAGAAAGAAGATGATTCGCTGTACCGTTCTCGCGACTCTTAATCCTTGTCTGAATTCAGTCCCCCCCCCCCCCCCCACTCCCGCGCAAAGCGCGGAAGCTTTCGCGATTCATTAAACCATTAGAGAAAAAAAAAACGATTCGTCGTACAGTTCTCGACTCTAAATCCTCGTCTGAATTCAAGCCCCCCCCCCCCTCCTGCGCGAAGCTTTTAAGTTTCATTAAATCATTAGAGAAAGAAGACGATTCGTTGTACCGTTCTCGAAAAATATTTCTCGTCTGAATTTAGTTTCCCCCCCCCCCCCTCCCGCGCGAAGCGCGGAAGCTTTTAGGTTTTATTAAAATCATTAGAGAAAGATGATCCGTTATACTGTTCTCGATAATAATCCTCGTCTGAATTCAGTTTTTCCCCTACCGCGCAAAGCGCGGAATTTTGGACGTTTCATAAGATTGTGAGAGAAAGAAGACGATTCGCTGTACCGTTCTCGACTCTTAATCCTTGTCTGAATTCAGTCCCCCCTCCCCCCCTCCCCTCCTGCGCGAAGCGCGGAAGCTTTGACGTTTTATTAAATCATTAGAGAAAGAAGACGATGCGTTGTACCGTTCTCTACTCTTAATCCTTGTCTGAATTTCAAAGATGTTCTTTGTCTGCTCCTTTTTATTCCTACGCCCTCTTTCTTTTCTCTCCTCTCTTTTTTATTTTGACGGCGATTTTCGGGGACCGCCCCCACAGCCCCCCCCCCCCCCTGGCTACGCGCCTGCGGTCAGATAACATATTTTGATAACTGTCTTGTCCAACCCAGAAGCTCAGGGGCTATAAATAACGGTCAGATAAGCATTCAGGGGCCCGCCTTAGGGCCCCTGGTGGGGTCGAGGCGGTGGAGCCCCGGAGGCTCAGGAGTTTTAGACATTAAATTACCGTCAGATGAGCATCTAAGGGCCCGCCTTAGGGCCCTAGTAGGAATCCAGGGCCAGCAGAGCCCCCGGAAGCTTGGCATTTAATCACGGTCAGATGAGCATATTTTAATGCCTCATTATTTTTTGACACTGGCAGTTAAACTCTTTTTTCTTTCTTGCTCTCTTTTTTTTTTTTTTTTTTCTTTAATATACCTTTTCAAAAAAAGTTGGGGGGGGGGGGCTCGAGGCTCTCGATCCCCGCCATTCCTCGGGCCCTGACATGTAGGAATCTCAAGTATCACATTTCTTGCCTGGCTGTAAATTTAGGAATTTGTCACATAAAAACGTATAATTTACTAAAAGTGAGGAAAAATCTCTGAAAATTATGTCATTTCAGCATTATTTTTAATCTACCGTTATGGAATTAGAAATAAACCACGTTTAAATTTGATTTCCCACAAGCCCCCTACCCCCTATCAGTTCGCCAGTATCTCCCCTTTTTCTTTTTTCTTTCCCTTTCCTTCCTTCTCTCTTATTTTTGTGATGGGGGAGGGGGGCAACAGCCTGGGAGGCAAGGCCCTTTCGGCCCCCCGATCTTTTTCTTCCCCTTTTCTTTTCTTCTTCCTCTTCTCTCTTTCCCTTTCTCTCCTCTTTCCTTTCCCTTCTTTTCCTTTCTTCTCTCTCTCTCTTTTTTTTTTTTTTTTGCGAGGGGGGGGGGGGCAAGGCACGCCCGCGCCCCCCCCCCCCCTGGATCCGCGCCTGCTCACCTATGCCGGAGTGACCTAGGTTAAAACCGAAAGTCTGCGAAATATACCTCAAAGACTGGTAAGATGGCATTTTTGAAAAGGGTGGGGGTAAGTGCGAAGTACACATGTGCATACGTGAGGTGATATTTGAACGCGTAAACACAAGTACGTACGTTTAGTTTTAGTTTATAGGCGTTTTTCATTCACAACTTGCTAGGCCGTCGTCTCTTTCCAAAATTATTAATTTATTGAATTTTCTCTCTAAAAAAAGTTATAGAGTCTAAAAAGAAAAAAAGAGGAAGGAAAGAGGATGAAAGAGAAAGAATCCTAAAAATAGTCATTTTTATGGAGCGCCAAAGGGCCAATATCAACAGTCACAAAAACAAACAAAGATGCATACAAACAAACAAAGAAGCATATAAACAAACAAAGGACAGAGCAAAATAGACAAAGTACCCAGAAGAAAGGACCAATTAACAAAGAATAAATCAAAGGTCAGAGCAAAATAGACAAAGTACAGGTCAGAAGAACAGAGGGCGTTTTGGTTTACGGTAAGCAAATAGACATCAAGCACGAAAACGAGAAAGGACAAACTCAAAAGGACATCAGCTCAGCTACGAAGTGACCCTCAAAGGACAACAGAGGGCGTTTTGGTTTACGGTAAGCAAATAGACATCAAGCACGAAAACGAGAAAGGACAAACTCAAAAGGACATCAGCTCAGCTACGAAGTGACCCTCAAAGGACAACAGAGGGCGTTTTGGTTTACGGTAAGCAAATAGACATCAAGCACGAAAACGAGAAAGGACAAACTCAAAAGGACATCAGCTCAGCTACGAAGTGACCCTCAAAGGACAACAGAGGGCGTCCTCGAGGTTTTTTTTCTTTTTAATCTAGGGCCTACTCCAATATAATACGCTGTAGGTCAATACAACAAATATGGGCTTTCATCGAAAGGGGTGCGGTGCGGTGTGGTGTGCTCAACGCACCCATTCGATAAAAGAGGGGGGCCTTTTCTCGAAAGGGTGCGTTGAGAGCGGAGTACCATTTTAACACACCCTTTCGATGAAAGCGGGGGGGGGGGGGGGGGATTTTCTCGAAAGGGTGCGTCGACTAGTCTTTCGCATCAGTCGTTTAAAATGAGGATCTCGGACAGAAGGTAATAGTTGCCAATTTAAGTATATCGAAAATGTATTAAATGAAATGGAATGGTCTTGATTACAGAGTGGTCTCTTTGATGGGGGAGACAGAGAGAAGGAAAAAAGGGAAAGGGAAGATAAAAGGAAAGAAAGAAGAGGAAGAAGAAGAAGAAAAGAGGGAAACGGGGGCGAAAGGCTCTTGCCTCCCCCCCCCCCCCCCCGCCAAAAAATAAATAAGAGAGAAAGAGAGAAGGGAAAGGGAAAGGGAAAGAGAATAAAAAAGGAAAGGAAGAAGAATATGAAGAAAAGAGGGGCTCTTGCCTCCTCCTCCTCCCCCCGCCAAAAGATAAGTAAGAGAGAGAAGGGAAAGGGAAAGGGAAAGAGAAGATAAAAGGAAAGAAAGAAGAGGAAAAAGAAGGAAACGGAGGCGAAGGGCTCTTGCCTCCTAGCCCTTCTTCCCCTCCTCCCCCCCCCCCGCCAAAAAAATAAATAAGAGAGAGAGAGAGAAGGGAAAGGGAAAGAGAAGATAAAAGGAAAGAAAGAAGAGGAAGAAGAAGAAAAGAGGGTAACGGGGGCAAAGGGCTCTTGCCTCCTTTCTTTCCTATTCTCCCGCTTTTTCGTTTTTCTCTTTCTTTCTTTTCTTTCTTCTCTTTTCTTTCCTTTCTTTTCTTTTTTTCTTTTCTTTTTCTTTTTTTCTTTTCTTTCCCTTTTACTCTCTTTTTCCCCCTCCCCCTTTTCTCTTTTTCCCGACGGCAGCGCAATTTTACCGACAATATCCTGACAGGTGGGGGGGGGGGGGTGTCGCACCCCCACCCCCCTTTGGAGACGCCCCTGCCTTCGCCACTGTTGGCGACCACAAGGCTATCAATACAAATTAAGACATATTAATGAAGATTCTTTTTAATGTTGCAGAGAGATAAGTATTTTCTCTATGAACTTGTTTAATGGAAAATAAATAATATTAAAAACATGAATACTATAGCGGTATAATGATGAGAGAGATGATTTAAGTCATACTTTTTTTCAATGTGATTGGAGTGGACTTGAGGGTGGGGGGGGGGGGACCTCCTAAGATCTCGGCCGTTTCACAGCCGATCGCCGCGAAAATGCATATTTATGGTAATTTATGCAAACAAGGTCAGAGAATTCACATTTTTACCCATAATATGAATTATAATAATTCATATTCGAGCGTTCTTTTTCACTTCATATATTCGTTAGAATAATAATACGACAACAAAGTTGGAAGAGCCAGTTTATCCCTATGTTATCTCTTGTTTTGATTATTTGTATTTATGTATTATATTATTTGTTATTTCATTTCATTTCTAACCACAATTCAACTATTTTTACCCCAAATCAAACAAATTTACTTGAAACAAGACCAAATAACCAATGTTTTCTCTTTTTTTAAAAGAATAAATGGTATTTCCATATGTTTGGTACATAAATCACAAAAATGAGCGATTTTAGATTTTTTTGACATGCAAAAACAAAAGGTCACGTGACTCCGCAATTATACGTCCGATTTTCAACAAAAATATGTTTCAAAAGATGCGTAAGACTCGAAAGAAAAAAGTCATGAAAGAAAAACTGCCGCGGTTCCGGAGTAGTCGCGAAATTACTAGAGAGCACTAATCTTTTTTGGGGCCCTCAAAAATTTGAAAAATCGTACCCCCCCCCCCTTGAACGCCAGGGGGGGGGGTATCTCCCAAAAACGGTAAAAATTAACGTGTTTTTTTTACACGTTTTTTTCACAGGGCGGAGCCCTCAGAAGCTCAGGGGTATTAAACATCAAAATTAACGTCGGATGAGCATAATTTTATACCTTATTTGTGACAGTGGCAGGACACAATTTGGTGTTGGGTCCAGGGGGCGGAGCCCCCAGAAGCTCAGGAGTTTTGTCCATTAAATAATTATTATTTTATACCTTATTTGTGACACAGGGGTCACGAATTGGCGTGGGGTCCAGGGGGTGGAGCACCCAGAAGCTCAGGGGTTTTGGGCAATAAATAACGGTCAGATGAGCATATTTTTATATCTATTTGTGACACTGGCAGAACACAAATTCTTCTTCCTCTTCCTCTTCTTTCTTTCCTTTTATCTTCTCTTTCCCTCTCCTTCTCCAACATAAGATGCAAGACGGATATATATCGACTCACCTTCTTTCCAAGAACCATACGGGCCTGGAATTTACTTTCCCCCCCCCCCCCCCCCAGCATCTTTGCCTGCGACGCAGTCGAAACCTTCAAAGCCGGACTCTTATGGGAAGCCATCCAAGGGGGTAATATAATCATAGTCCCTCCCCACAACTGCAATGTGATGGGACTTAATTCTAAAATGTTCTAGAAGCAACAAACACTCTCTCTCGAACGATAACGTTCTTATTGGTCATCTTTATATCCCTCTTGAGGATCAGGACCAGGATCAGAACAGATTCTCTCTCTCTCTCTTATTTATTTTTTGGCGGGGGGGGGGAGGGAGGAGGCAAGAGCACTTCGCCCCTGTTTCCCTCTTTTCTTATTCTTTTTCCTCTTCTTTCTTTCCTTTTATATTTTCTTTCCCTTTCCCTTCACTCTCTTTCTCTCTCTTATTTATTTTGTTGGCAGGGGGGGGGGGGCAAGAGCCCTTCGCCCTTCCCCCGTTTCCCTCTTTCCTTCTTATTCCTCTTCTTACTTTCCTCTTATATTTTCTTTCCCTCTCCCTTCTCTCTCTCTTATTTATTTTTGGCGGGGGGGGGGGGGAGGGCAAGAGCCCTTCGCCCCCGTTTCCCTCTTTTCTTCTTCTTCTTCCTCTTCTTTCTTTCCTTTTATCTCCTCTTTCCCTTTCCCTTCTCTCTCTCTCTTATTTATTTTGTTGGCAAGAGCCCTTCGCCCCCTTTCCCTCTTTTCTTCTTATGCTTCTTTCTTTCCTTTTATATTCTCTTTCCCTTTCCCTTTCCCTTCTCTCTCTCTCTCTCTCTCTCTCTTATTTTTTTTTCTGGGGGGGGGGGGGGGGAGGGCAAGAGCCCTTCGCCCCCGTGTCCCTCTTTTTTTTTCTTTTTCCTCTTCTTTCTTTCCTTTTATCTTCTCTTTCCTTTTCCCTTTCCCTTCTCTCTCTCTCCTATTTATTTGTTGGCGGGGGGGGGGGGAGAGGCAAAAGCCCTTTGCCCCCGTTTACCTCTTTTCTTCTTCTTCTTCTTCTTCTTTCCTTTTATCTTCTTTCCCTTTCCCTTCTCTTTCTCTCTCTCTCTGATTTATTTTTTGGCGGGGGGGGGGGGGGGGGGGGGGGGAGTCCTTCGCCCCCCACCTTATTCCCTCTTCTCTTCTTATTCTTCTTTCTTTCCTTTTATCTTCCCTTTCCCTTTTTTCCTTCTCTCTGTCTCCCCCATCAAAGAGACCACTCTGTAATCAAGACCATTCCATTTCATTTAATACATTTTCGATATACTTAAATTGGCAACTATTACCTTCTGTCCGAGATCCTCATTTTAAACGACTGATGCGAAAGACTAGTCGACGCACCCTTTCGAGAAAAGCCCCCCCCCCCCCCCGCTTTCATCGAAAGGGTGTGTTAAAATGGTACTCTCCGCTCTCAACGCACCCTTTCGAGAAAAGGCCCCCTCTTTTATCGAATGGGTGCGTTGAGCACACCACACCGCACCGCACCGCACCCTTTCGATGAAAGCCCATATTTGTTGTATTGACCTACAGCGTATTATATTGGAGTAGGCCCTAGATTAAAAGAAAAAAACCTCGAGGACGCCCTCTGTTGTCCTTTGAGGGTCACTTCGTAGCTGAGCTGATGTCCTTTTGAGTTTGTCCTTTCTCGTTTTCGTGCTTGATGTCTATTTGCTTACCGTAAACCAAAACGCCCTCTGTTGTCCTTTGAGGGTCACTTCGTAGCTGAGCTGATGTCCTTTTGAGTTTGTCCTTTCTCGTTTTCGTGCTTGATGTCTATTTGCTTACCGTAAACCAAAACGCCCTCTGTTTCTTCTGACCTGTACTTTGTCTATTTTGCTCTGACCTTTGATTTATTCTTTGTTAATTGGTCCTTTCTTCTGGGTACTTTGTCTATTTTGCTCTGTCCTTTGTTTGTTTGTATGCTTCTTTGTTTGTTTGTATGCATCTTTGTTTGTTTTTGTGACTGTTGATATTGGCACCTTTGGCGCTCCATAATTTATGACATGAAATTGTACATATGTATATATAGGCCCTATATAAATAATTCATAAAATAGTGTTTGGCAAAAATAGTCAACTGTGACTGATTGCCAAACAAAAACAATCAAGAAGAAGAAGAAGAAGCATAAGAAAAGAATAGGCTGGGGCTGTAGTCTAATTTCAAGAAAGGAAAACAATTTCGGGACAGTTCAAAATAATGCTGGGAAATGGAAATTCAAATGATACCGTTTTAAAAACCAGTAATTAGATATGATTTTAGGCACTGGCGTACCTATGGGGGGGCAGGGGGGGCAGAGTGCCCCCCCTGACGGGCTCCAGGAGAAAAAAAGAAAAAGGGAAAGAAAAGAAAAGAAAGGAAAAGGAAAGAAAAAAAAAAAAGGAAAAGGGAAGAAAAAAGGAAAGAAAGAGAAAAGGAAGAAAAGGGAAAAGAAAAGGAAAGGAATAAAATGGGGAAATTAAAAAAAAGAAAAAAAGACCATGGCCGTACGCACCAGGGGGGGGGGGGGCAGTTGACCCCAGATATTTTGAAAACGTACAGTTTTTTTTCCTGAAAATGTAGTGTAGGCCTATACCAAATCCTTCAATTCTACTTTTGAAAATGCAAAAGTACCCTCATGACCAGTTCGGTCGCTCGAACTCCCTTCACTCCTTTTGCTTTTGAGATTCTTCGAAAACTTTTAACGCATCTTTCCCCTCCCCCACCAGAAAAATATTCCGCATACGGCCCTGAAAAATTAAAACAAATGAAAATAGGAAAATATAAGTGATATAACAAATTTGAAACTCTTCGCTGGCGCGAACTGCTTGCTAGCCTATTTTGTATTAAATGTTTTCACTTGCTCGTCCCCCTGAAAAAAGAAAAGGATTAGTATTGCCTAGATTATTGTGCCTGCCCCGACGGGCCCCGACCTGCAACCATGGCAACAATAACACATAATATATGTACCAAATGTTACTAAAAGAGACTAATTCATTTTTCTCGCTCGCGAATAAAATAAATAGACATTGCTTTGGAAACAATTGTGCCCACCCTTGACCTGCAACAATATCATTAAAAATGGAAGAGTTTTTTCGCCCTCTCGCCAAAAAGGAATTGAATCGCGTTAAACGCGATTGCGTCCATCCTGACCTGCACCAATAAAAACAAGTTTATTTATTAATTTCTATTAAAAGAGAATTTTTTTTTTTTTGCTTGCTCGCTATGCTCGCTCGCCAAAATGGAATTGACACCGCTAACGTGCCCGCCCCAACCTGCAATAACCAGTTAATAATTATGTACCAAACGTTATTCAAAGAAGTTTTGGTGTGCTTGTGCCCGCCAAAATGGATTTAACATCACCTTAGACATGATTGTGTAAGCCCTGCCCTGCAACAAAAAAATCTGAAATTTATGAACCAATTATCATTACAAAAATTTTGCTCGCTCGCTACGCTCGCTCGCCAAAATAGAAAATAACACCGCTTTTAATAATCACGTCCCTGACATGGAACAATGAACCCAAGTTTATATACCATATTTTCCCTATAAAAGAGAAGTGATTTGTTTTGCTCGCTCGCTACGCTCGCTCGCCAAAATAGAAATAACACCGCTTTTAATTATCACGTCCCTGACATGGAACAATGAACCCAAGTTTTATGTACCATATTTTCCCTATAAAATAGAAGTGATTTTTTTTTTGCTCGCTCGCTACGCTCGCTCGCCAAAATAGAAATAACACCGCTTTTAATAATCACGTCCCTGACATGGAACAATGAACCCAAGTTTTATGTACCATATTTTCCCTATAAAAGAAAAGTTGTTTTTTTTTTTCTCGCTCGCTACGCTCGCTAGCTCGTGGAATTATGTGCCCACCACTAACCTGCTACAATATCATTACAAAGATAAATGTAGGGGGTTGCCTGCCCGGCAAAATGGGATTGACATTACCTTAAACACGATTGTGCCCGCCCGCTACCTGCAACAATGAAACAAATTTTATATAGCAATTCATTGAGAGAAAGATGTATTTTCGCTCGCTAGCTAAAATGGGTATAAAATCACCCTAAACACAATATTGTTCCCGCGCCCTGCATGGGACAATTGAACCAAGTTTAAGTGGCAATTATTAAAAAAGACGTGATTTTTTTTCTAGCTCGCTACACTCGTTTGCAAAAAAAAATGAAATTCACGTCGCTATCAAGTGAATGTTCCCACCCCCAACTTGCAACAATACCAGTTTATATACCAAACGTTACTTAAAGATTTTTTTTTGCTCGCTCGCTCGCCAGAAGTGAAAATTAGCATCGCCTTTTTTGTTTGTTTCGGTCGCTTGCCCCCCCTGACGGAGTACCCCAGGTACGCCACTGATTTTAGGACAAGAATCAGAAGATAATTCATTGCTCTCGACAGTCTCATTGATTTTTCTGTAGAGATCAGTGGACACACGTCCTTAAAACTAAAACAACAACATGGTTGTATTAATATAGAGTGCAGACTCATATTTACGACTGACCAGGGTTTGTGGTTGCAGACTAGACATGCAGTGAACGGTAAAATTGTCATTGCGCTAAATTATGATGCAAGCGGCCGGATGAATGAATGGATCTTCTGAATCTCCTCCAGAAATTCACATTCACGAGTTCCAAATCATTGGTTTATGGTAAGTATGACGTGATAGTTATCTTAAGTTTCAAGAAACATATATTGATCAATCATTGACATTTAAAGTTATATATAAATCGTCATTAGAACTCTACTCGAAAATCGGAATTCGTTGGTTGCAAATTGCCACAGCTGCAGGAGGCAGACAGCCGCGGCCGGGCATGGCAGGGCCAGGGCCGGCCACGGAGAGAGGCGGCGTGCGGCACTCTGACCTACATCTGTCCTGCTAGCTGCTTGCTAGTGCTAAAAAGCGTATCCTTGGGGTTACTAAATCTGTCAATTTTTGTCATCTTACCCTATCCTTACCCATAACCTAACCCTAACCATAATTGCCTAAACCTTGCAGCTGGGCCGAGTTGTCTTTGGTCCGAGTTTGCCCGACTCCATTCATTTACGTATTCAATTTCATAAATTGAATGATTAATCATTCCAACTTTCAAGGGGCAAGGCAAGGGCATTAATACTAGACAGAAATAACCGTCTGATAATGATATGGGTCATTTCTTTAATGAAACTGACATTTGTTGACATTCCACAAACTTTATATTTCAACACTTTCATACTAGATCTACCGGCTGTCACTCCTGACTGGATTCTCTGTAATTTCTCATTCTCAAATTTAGGTTTTATTCTCCAACTGAAAGATGTCTTCCACAGATGATGAAGATGTAGGAAATCTGGTTGTCATAGTGATTGATGTTAATCCAGTTTGGTGGGGAAAACAGAGCCATCACAAGCAACAGGTAAATTGTAAAAATAATAAATATTCAGCAGCCAGCACGATGATCCAGTGTACAGATCTTGGTTTAAAGTCGAAAGATGATATGAATTTAATACAATATCTCAGTGAAGTAAATAATTGTGCTAACAATGACAACGTGAAGCTGTGAGTAATTTGATAATCTATCAACGAGTTGATGTGGCACACGCTAAAAAAATATCTTTCACTACGAGACACAACCCTGATTTTTGTTTAGATATTCAAGACATTTATTTTGTTGCCAATTTCTTGAATGATTATTTTAAATGTCTCCTTAATTAATGTAGTACAGTCAAACCTGCTTTAGTGACCACCTGTCTACAACAAGCACATTTGTTGTTTCCCTTGAAAATGGTTTCTCATTGAAACATGTACATTGTACTAAAGGAACCTGTCTACATAGACCACCTGTCTACAACAAGCACATTTTTGTTTCCCTTGGGCGGTCGCTGTAGACAGGTTTGACTGTATATAACTCCATGTTTTTCTATGGATTCAAGTCTAGAATATTTGAAGATCTCTCATTGTAAGTGTGGTTACCAATTCTGTTTCATTTGTTCTCTCGCTACAGAAGGATGGATTAGCATTAAGTCAGTGTATGGATGCAGTGGTGGTGTTTATCAATTCACATCTCATGATGGATAGACGCAACAAAGTAGCCGTTATTGCCAGTCACACCAATGAAAGGTAACCACTGCATTAAGGCTGTGCACAACAGTGTAATGAGGTACCCGAGTACACTCCCAGGCTTACAAGCGAATACTCGAATATTCGGACGCCATGTTTTTTTTTTTTTTTTTGTTTATTTTTTTAATTTTTTTTAATTTTTGTCTCGCCTGCGTAGCAAAAAGCGAGACATAGGCGCCGCTTTTCCGGTGACGGCGGCGGCGACGGCGACGGCGACGGCGTCAACATCAAAAACTTAACCTTAGGTTAAGTTTTTGATTTGGTATAATTTTTAAAGTATAAGTTCTTAGTCAATGAAACTTTGACTATAGGGTAATCAAGTATCCCCAATCATGTGAGTAGAATTTCAGGTCACTAAGTTAAGGTCAAAGGCCATTTAAGGTCAACAAACTTAGACTTTGTTGTGGCATCAACATTAAGATTTTCAAAATGCTTCTTCTTCGTTATTTTTCAACCGATTTTGATTCTGATTGTTTCATATGATAGGGCTAGGAGGGGATTTAAAATTTCTACACAGAATCGTGAAATTCATTATCTATGCTAATTTATGCAAATTTATTCGAAATCACAAAAAAGGCTTCTTCTCCTTCATTTCTCGACCGATTTTGATTTGGTTTGCTTTATATCGTAGAGCTAACTTTGGTACACTAAACTTCTATTCAGAATTTTGAAATTGTTCTCCATTAATTAATTATGGTAATTTATGCAAATTTATTCCAAAAATAACAAAAATTGCTTCTTTTCCCTCATTTCTTGACCGATTTTGCCTTATCTGGTAGAGCTAAATTTGGAACAATAAACTTCTACACAGAATTGTGAGATTTTGCTCCATTGATTATTTATGGTACTTTATGCAAATGAAATGAAATTATGTCCCTTCCAGGGCATCAAATTTCTATTTTTGACCAGTTCAAAAGTGTACCACATAAAATTTACGATATTTGTTGTTGTGAGATGCGGATGAGCGCTACGTCATTGACGTTCTGGTTTATCATATTGAATTGCGTTATGCAGGCGAGACCGCCGAGAGCGTTTCCCTTGTTTGATTTTTTGAATTTTTTGAATTTTTTGAATTTTTTGCCACCACCATACCACTGGTACAGTATCCCAGTATCGCAGAAAACGCATGTAATTTTACTTCGAGTTGCAGTTGAAGGCGCCGATTTAATAATGATAATAAAAGTAAACAATGCTGTTTTAAAAACCATCCATTGTCCTCCGAGTCCAAACAGAAATCTGGACATTTGGTCCCAAATTTCTGAGTGGTGAGTTTGACAGTGCTTGAGTTGGGAAACATTTTTACTGATGGCACCATGCCAGCGGCCGCCGCTCTCCCTGGCACGGGTAAGCGTGGGCCTGGACAGTTTTTTTTTTTTTTTTTTTTTTGCAACCGAATATTCGGGTACGAGAAATCGTACCCGAGTAGTTGTCAACCGTGCGGGTACTCGAGCATTCTACTACCCGTCGCAGCCTTACACTGCATAGTAAAAGGCATGTGCAGAGGTCAGAAAACTTGTAGCATGTACATTTGTCTTCGACTTTTGAAATCATTAATACTATTTTGATAGTAATGCTAATGAAAAATTGACTGTCCTGTGAGCATTCCAATTCATACCGTAATTGGGAATTTTTACCCAGACTTATTTAGCACATGATGCAATTCAAGGAATAGACCATATCATGCACCCATTTGCTACTCATGGGTGGAGAATGGTAATAGAGATAAATAAGATAAACGCCTTGACTGTGGAAATTGGTGCCATGCCAGTGCTCAAATCCGTGACCATATTTATCTACAATGTATTAGTAGGTACTTGATAACAGGGAAATCATTGGCCTCATGAATCAATGAGATATGTTAAAACAATTTCATTAATTAAGAAAATCAACAACTAACCGAATCAATGTATTTTGCACTGCAACGGTATGCAATGATTTAGAAATTGCAGCTAGTTCAGTAAAAGATAAACTCCAGTACTGGTCAAAAAAAAAATAATTCTCACAGAATCAAACGAAACTTACACTGAATGTTCAACATTACAAATAAATGACATGTGCCAAACAAGTTTGGAAGAAAATGTATACTGGCTGAGTAATGAGCATAGAAAGACAAGGAAATCAAGGAAGTACTAGCCCCGACACCATGTGTGTTGTCCCATATATAGCTTTCTATGTGAGTGCTTGTTACTTTACCAAGACTCGGTCAAATTTATTATGATTTTGATGACTCCAGAACCTTGCAGTGCACACCAATACTTACATGCTACATGATCAACTGTTTCTGATCCTTTCCACACCTTTTCTTTCACAATGCAATCGCATTACCAGTACTAAAGTTTATCTTTAACAGGGATAGCTATTTCCTATATGCTTATCCTGCACATAACTTTAATTCACAAAATCCTCTTTAAATTGTCAATTCATGATTTCTTACTCTTGTTGAGAACTGACTTTAAATGTAGATCTATAAATCTGTTTAACAAAGATCACCTTTCCTATTATGTATTCATTGTATCTGTAGCCGTTTCTTGTACCCGAAGAAGACGAGTGATGCGTTTGATGATGGAGATGATCAGAGGGAGCAAGATGAGATGAGCTCAGATGGGAAGTATGAAGTCTTTGCTTCTATCAATGATGCAGTCATGGAGGAACTCAAGAACTTGGTAGATGAAAGTAAGTCCTGGGGGTGTTTCACAAAGATCCTTAGTTGAACTTATCTCTAAGTTGGACTAACAATTATGGAAAGCTGTTAGCATATTAGAAAATATTTTGTAGAAGTCATTTTAAAAGGCATGAAATGTTGATTCAAATCATTCATATTTTCTATTATCAAGGAGATTTCATGTTCTTGATGTGGAATTCATAAAAAGTCTAAAATACTTAATTTGTCACTATTGAGGCTACAACTGGCTCTCCATAATTTGAGTTTGACTTGGGATCTTTGTGAAACACCCCCCTGGCCTGAGAACACCCAAGAAAAGCAGTATCTGTGCACTTAGGAATGTAGGGTATTGTTTCATTCATATAACATAGGTGTTAATTTTTAATGTTTACCCATAACTTCTTATCTAACCCACAAATTGTTATTAGTATCAGAATGTTCATTTCCATGGTCTTATCTTCTACAGACCCGACAGTATCACATACGGACACGCTTCTGGCTGGATCACTGGCGATGGCATTGTGCTGTATCCTTTAAAGCCCGTCTGTACTAGTTTGGCCAGGAGGGATTAGACCTCCCTGCATGGTCTTGGTCACTGACAGGTGGTTATCTCATCCACTCAGCTCCCAATTAACATAAGAAAAAGAGGATCATGGGGACCAATGGTCACTTATTAGGCATTGTTTTCTATATAGAGGGAGCAAGTAGCTTAAAGTAGTAGAGTGGGGCTTTAAACAAGTTGGAAATAATTTCTGGCAGCATACTTCAATTGCCACTGAATAACAGGCTCATCAGCAATTTTACAGTTGAGGTGTAATCAGTTGTAACAAAAGAGAACATCATTGTCATATATTCCATTCTCTCACTATTCAATTCAATTCAATTCAATTGATTTCATTTATTTTTCCTCTTTCAATCATTCATATTTACAATAATGGTACATTATCAGATGTAATTATTTTCTTGAGTCAGTAGTTACATCTATATTGTTAGTGTGTTTTGTATGTAAGGCAAATATCTGATAAACTGCAAATGACATTACACGTGTGTTCCACCATTCCACTTTTCGCGTCAAGGGGCTGAGGCATTGAGTTATTTATTTCACAAGTGTTTGTACTGTTCCTTAATTGACGATCAATGCAGATATTCACAGAGTTGAAAAGGAATGTGCAGGTAAGATTTGTTTCTTTGTTTTTTTGCTCAATTTATGATGATTTTGTTTTCGTTTTTATATCTTAATATGCTATTTTATTTAAAAAGGATAGCCATTAAGAATTCTCTGCATCAGGGATTTTGCCAACTTTTAGAGAGCGTTTATGGCATATTTATTTTCAAGCAAAAATTTGAAAAGGGGTCATTGCCAATAAACAAACTTTCAAAAAGCGATCATTGTAAATTTGTTTATTATCAGTTTGCAGCCAGTCAACCCATAGTTTAATAAGATTTTTGCTTGCAATTTGGGTTAATATACCTGAAGTGAAATTCACCAAGATAACCTTTCTTTGATTAGGTGACATACATCAGTATGACCTGTTTATGTGATTTTTTCCACAGTTTGTATTAATGGTGTCTCTCACATTTTTTTCTACAGTTGGTGAAAAGATAAAGTCAAGAATCCTAGTAAGCATTACAGATTTGATATTTTTCTATCATCACTTGGCAGTTTCACATAATAACATTTTATCGCTAATCAATTACATATTGATTTATGATTTGAAGTTTCTAAATGATACATCAACCATGAAAATGAATACCATGATATTAATGATGCAAAGCCACGCTAGAATGTTATAAGTGAGTTATAATACAACCACATACCTTTACAAGATTTATGACATACAGGATGGTTAATATGATATTGCCAATCTAAAGAAATCATACAATGTATAAAGTAAATATTTGTGAGTTTCAAATCAATTTCCTTTCTCTTCTTCCCACAGGTACTCAAAGCAGCTGATGACAGTGCATCCCAGTATATGAACTTTATGAATGTCATCTTCACAGCACAAAAACAGGTAAAATTGTCTCTCTTTATTTTCTTCATCAAGAGTATACAAATAATACACAGCAGTGAGGGCATTAGTAAAACTAACACGCCCAAGGCGGTAGACGAGGGTGTTTGGACTGTTTTGAAGGTACCGAGTGTGGGTAATTGTACTAATGCCGGAACAAAAGATGTGTACTATTTGTTTTATAAGATTATGTTTTATTTGTTTTAAAAATGATGTTTTATAACATAATTTTACTAATGACCGGTCATTAGAATTGGATAATGACCGGTCATTATCCAAATTACGCATTAGGCAAAATAAATGCCTGGTCACATGTACGCTTTCAACCAAATCATTTGAATAGGATCCACAACATCATCTTATAGTATAGATTACCTAACTTACTTGAAAGCGAAGGTTTGTGGTTAAAAAGATAAGATTGTTTCATATTCATGAGAAGGAGTGGAAGTATCATAACATTTGTGTACTCTTATTTTTGTTTTCACTTTATCTCTCTTCTTTCTTTACCTTTTTTGAATGTGGTGAATTATATCCGTCTGTGTGTCCAATTTTCTTGCTCTCTGTCATCTACACTGTATCTGTCTTGTTTTCGTCATATCTGTAGGTCTGTACATTGTGTCTTATATTCTTTCATTGTATATTATGATCTCTCTCTCTCTCTCACTCTCCTTTTTTAATACAGCATATTTCGATAAATGCATTTATCCTAGACAAAGATTCTAGTATCTTACAGGAGGCCTGTGACATTCACGAGTTGACCTAAAATTATGCACTCTAATGATAGACTTTCTCTCTCACTCTCTCTCACTCTTTCTCTCTCTCTCTCTCTCTCTCTCTCTCATTTGAATGCAGAACATTCCCATTGATGCATGTATCCTGGATAAGGATTCCAGTCTGTTACAGCAGGCCTGTGACATCACAGGAGGAAAATACCTCAAGCTCCTATCAACGACAGGGCTACTCCAGTACCTACTGGTAAGTCATTCCTATTCTCAGGAAAAGGACACCAGGGGTGTTTCACAAAGACTAAGATCGACTTTAAGTTGAACTTAAATATGGCAGGCCGTTCATGCCACTGTTTGCTCTCACCATTATGATCTTTTAGATTATATTTTTTCCTTAAATAATGAACTATCAAAAAATGTACATTCTATAGATTTGTGAGCATGATTTGTACATCCCTTGAGAGACCAATGCCATTAAATGAACAGCCTGCCAACCTGATCTTTGTGAAACACTCCCCAGTGCATGCTTGCCCTGGTTAGAAAGATCGTAGTTGTTGATTGCTCTATGTTTGAAGAAGTTTTCAGTAATGTTTGTGCGTACCTTAGCTACGCAGGGCCAGGTGGTTATGTATTCAGTGTGTACAGTGCCCCGAGTTCCTGATATTGTGCAAAGTAAATACACACACACACACAAACATTACTCGGGAACATCCTTAAAAGTCACTCTTTAAAGGTGCCACTACATTTGCAAAGCATTATGATGTGATATTATCAAACAGAAACCAGGCTTTACAATGTAAAACTTTCGGAAATTGTAAAAGGGATAATTGAGTTCTGTTTTCAGACCGCAAATGCCTTCAAAGTGCATGGTTATTGCTCTTATTCTTATCTATGACATTTCTAGTGCCCTTTTAGAACCTAAAATTGCTATGAAGCTAATTTTAGACCCCAAAATGTGTGAAATTTAGCCAATACGATCATACCAATTCAGCTCCACTTTAACAAAAAATATGGTGACCTTTAATCAATTAATAATAACCATACATGGGCCGGCTGGTTGTGGGTAATATAACCAACACGAAAAAGCCAACAAATACAACGTAAGAGGCGCTATTTCGTTTTTTCAACGGCTTTTTTCAAATTATTAAATATTTTGTGGTGGTACACAAATATTAGAAATCTTTATATTTATGGATATTTCAGACGTCTCTGAACCGATTTTGATCAAACAAAGATGATTTTGTCATTTAAATTGTATGTTCTGTCAAATTTGACACTCAGTTTTCCATTATCTCACAAAAAAATTATTTTGTGTAGTGCCTTCTGCAACAGAACTCAACTATCCCTTTAATGATGATCTGTTATGAGCAAGAAAAGTTTTATGCATTACAAAATCAATATTTCAAGTTGTGTTTCAATCTAATTTTGATATTTCACAACCTGATACTTTCGGGAATCTCTACCACTAAAAAAAAATCTGCAAAAGATTCATGCACTATAAGTTTCCGGTGTACTATACTATGTGTGTGTGTGCTAGTGCGTGTGTGCATGTGTGTGTCATCATTCAGCCAGAATGTTGATCTCATAGTGCATTGAGGGAGGTAGTTTTGACATGCCAATATCTGTGTACATGAGCGTGGTAATAAGTCAAACAGTTCCCTCTTTCTTTATTCAATGTCTATGGGAGGGAACTATTTGAAACTCCATGAATTGACTGACCAATCAATCAGAAAAAAAACCTTCGGTGATGTAACTATATTTTTTTTAACTAACTATGTTTTAACTCTTGTTTGTCATCTTGCAGTGGGTATACCTACCATCTCCTAGCCAGAGAGAAAGCCTAGTCTTACCACCAGCCATCCATGTTGACTACAGGGCAGCATGTTTCTGCCATCGTATACTCATTGACGTGGGATACGTATGCTCCGTCTGTCTTTCCAGTAAGTATTCAAATATGATCCTGGTTGTAACTGTAGTTGTAACAAGTAAATAAAGATATGCATAGATGATGGGGAATTCGTTGATAATAATTATGTTTAATTTGCCAACCTAATTTAAGGGCATGTGTTAGGTGTCACTGTAGAAAACAAGGGTTAGAAAAGATATATAATGGCATTTTTATTGTCGCTTTTAGGGTCAAGTTCATTTGTATACTTGACCTACTATAATTGAGATGTGGTTAATGGAAGAAATGATTGTTTGAGAAGAGAACCATAGCTTCTCTGTATGTAGGATGCTGATTGAATCATGATTCATGATAAAGCATGAATTTATTCTCTTATCCTTGTGTATATGAGCCATTTTCTTTTTTATTTGTTTTTCAGTTTTCTGCACATATAGTCCCATCTGCTCAACATGCCAGTAAGTGTTGTTTTTTTTTTTTTTTGGGGGGGGGGGGGGGGGTCTTCCTTTTTTATTATCAACATGCGATGAAATACTCCATAAATGTTCTCTGACATTGACTACAAGCCTGACAATACTGGAATAAAGACCACCCTAATTGCATAAATTACATATTAATTCAAAAAGGAGTTGTATTTGATGACAGTAGGACAATACAATATAACTTGTTTTTTGGGTAGGAAGGCTCACAATTTATTCTCATGTCATAAACCACATACTGTTTTGTCATGGATCAACATGTTATGACCATTAATCTTATACTGTTGAGAATGCCCAAAGCGTCTACCATGTCTTTGATGCTATCTTTGATATGCTAGAGCGCCTTAATGTCAGCACAGCTAAAGCCGGGGTAATAATCTCAAAGTTTGGAAGCGCTTAGTGATTGTAATATGCGCTATATAAAAACTGGGTATTATTATTATTATCTTATAGTGCTTGACACCACACACAGATTTATTCTTGTATAAAATTGTTCGTTGACGTTCTTTTATGGAGATTATGGAGTATTTTGTTTTGTTTTTATTCATAACATTATACATGTTGTTTGTAAAACATGTACCTTAATTGCAATGTGAACAACCACATTTTCACTTTGTTCTCTTCTCTTGTTTTAACGTACAGTACGGCCTTCAGGATCAAGGGGCTCCTTCAAAGATGAAGAGGAAAAAGAAGTCTTCTGCTGTAGCTTCAATAACATGATGATGATACAAGGATATCTTTATACATTAGAGACATTTTAGAAGAGCAAAATTGTCAAATATGACATTGATCCAGGATTGGACACTGAGTGTGCTTCAAATTCAGCTGTAGTATTGTTTGAAATGGAGAGGAAGCTTGCTTCACCACAGAAAGTCAACAATTATAGATTTAACAATTATAGATTTATAACATCAGTGTGACACAATGGCTCAGTGGTAGAGCAGTGGTCTCGTAGTCGGGAGGTCCCTGGTTAGAAACCTATTTGATGTGCTAGTGCCCTTTGGTAAGGTATCAACCCCCATTACCAAGTCCTTTAGAGAGGACTTAGAGCCATCTGTCCCCTGTCTGCTTACTTACAAGCATGCACGTGCTTTCTTAGCAGTCGGGTTAAACGAAAAGGATGGGAGATCAACAGGACATATTGGTGAAGAGGATGATTAAATGTTTTTTTCTTGGAAATTTATATCTCACGCAGGATTTTTTATTTTCTTCCTACATGGGCTGTTGCATGTGGCCTGCTGTAAGCAATTATCTTTTTATGCCCAAAGATTACATAATTGCACAAACTACAATATTATTTGTTACATAATGATAGACCATACAGCCTAAGGTATAAAGTAATTTAAATCTATTACTGGAATCAGTAATCGACCTGTAGAAACAAAGCTTGGCTTTACAAAGAATCCAGCTTCATCATGCACTGGGTATACATACACCTGTGTGTCCTTAGATTCCTTACAATAATACAGAAATCCAGGATCCTTTATAGACCAGCAAGCCTATCTTTACTTTAGAAATTTCACAAATGTATGTATTCCCTAAAAGTTATGAAGGAATGTATGGACACTGAAGATATTTTGATACCATTTTGTTTTGCTTCAGTAGATGCTTACAAATACAACTCTTGTAATAAAAATGAACAAATGCAAAATCTTGTTATTTTCATTGAGTAATATGTTGGTGATCAGTTCAGAGATATCATGATATGTAGTAGAATTATGTCAAATAATACCTGAGGTAATATATATATTTTATGCACTTTCCCAAAGGCTATCAGTAGTGATTGTGATGGTAATGAGGTTATGATAGTAGTAGTGATGGTGATGATGATGATGAATTAATAGTCGCGAATGAAGATGATAATGATCATCATGAAAGTGATAATGATGTCGATGATGATGAAGACAGTGATGGTGATGATGAATTAATGGTGGCGACTGGTGATGATAATGATAGTGATGATGATGTGATGAAGACAGTGATAATATGGTCATGAGGTTGGTGAAGGTGATGGTAATATAGATGAAGAGGATGATGAGAATAGAGAGATATGGGGAGTCTGTTGGTAATCTAGAAATTACCATTGTGCCAAAGCTTGGCAAGAGAGTCCCTAATATTTGGTCACTTTTGGAAAATCTGGACAAATCAAAGCCACAAGATTATTCATTCAACTGTATATTGGGCAACAGCGAGTTACATGTACCAACACCTTACATCACCATCATCATCATCACTACCATCATCATCCCATCAACATCACTATCCCTATCCTCAAAAGCAAAATATCCCAGACAAATGCAACTTCAGTAATATGTCTGTTGATAATCACACAGCTAGCACATCAATAAATAACGGGACAAATAAATGATCTAGCTGGCAAAGTATGTAGTAATTTATTATAATAATAATAAAAGAATATTTATAAAGCCCGTAATAAACAAAAGTTTTTCTATACTTATAGTACATTTATTGCAAAAAGGGGAAAAGGATAAGAAACATTCGTAATTATATTTCTTGTTTCATATTTTATAAGATGGTCATAATTTTATATTTACATGAATTTAAAAAAGTGTCTTTGACTTATGGAATCAGACCCATTATGACCTGTTTAGTAAATTCCTTTTTTACATAATCAAGATAAGTATGCAGTTCAGGAGGACCAAATCCTATTACAATAACACCTTGGTAAGTAACTGTGGGAGAGAAATTTTAATGGCAACAACAGCACCTTGTACATTGGTGCTGTAAACTTGAATTTCATTTATTTTGGCCTTGCTATGTGAGTCAAAGGCCTGGCACACCCATTCTTTTTAAAGGTTTAGAGGTTTAAATATATCAGCAGTACACACTGCTTAAGCAATGAGAATAAAGTGGTGCAGATAATTTCAGTGGTAACTTCTTGCTAAATCAATTAACAATTCTGTTTAAACACTTGTACTTGTCAAAAAGCAAACAAGGCAGATTCATGTACAAAACACCAAAGAAACATGTCATGACTTTTATGTAGTATGCATCAGAAAATTTGGCTGTAATCAAATACAAAATATCTGACTGCTCAATTCATAAGGAAATCTAACTTCTGCAGATTGTTACAAAGAAATAGTAATACCGTAAGTATTGGACATGACAATGAAACTCTGTTCCTAACTGCTTACTCAATATCTGCTGAGAGGGAGAATGATACTTCGTCATATCATTTTGAATAAGAGTAAATGTCCTTGCGGTTCTCCATGAATGAATACTACTTTAGATTTGTGTACTACTGAAATATTCCAAATACATGTAGTACAAATAGCTGATTTAAAGTTCCTTCTTCATAAGTTATCTCTTTGCAGTCCATGGTCTCTCTTGCGTTCTCTGCCTATCATATATTCTCTTTGCTTTCTTTGATGGGACCAGTGCTTCACTAAGTCCGGCTCTATCTTTCCTCCTCTTTCTTATTGTCTCTTCCTCCTCCTTTGCTCTTTGTCCCTCATCGTAAAGGTCATCCTGGAATGGAGCCCCCATGTGGCCTCCACTTGCAGCGCTAGGGTAAGCTTCAGAGTTTCCCCCAGTAAGTAACACAGGTTTATGATCACTTCCATGAGAGAACTTGCAAGTGTCTCCAAACCTACAATTTCCCTTCTGGAATTTGTAGCACATTTTATGATTTCCTCTGGCAGCAGCAGCACCATCTGGCTTCTCTTGTTCTTTCATCTTGACATGCTTTTCAAGGATAGATAGTTGATCTTGTCTGGCTTGCTCGAAAGGATTGGCAAAGACGGACAAACTAAGGAGGTTCTTGGCATTACCCGTTCCTCCAGGGGACTCAGATGATGAGAAACCTTGAGGTAATGGCAGTGGAACATTGTCTTTGTCTGCCTTGACAGACTTCCTTGCACTGCTCTTCCTGGAACGGTCAGAAGAATAAGCATTTGAGTCAGAGTCTGAAGAACTTGAGGTATCCTGACTGGTCAATAGATTTTGTTGCCTGTGTAATATGAAATAGAAATTAAGAGACCCATCAGTCATTGATTTCTTTCTCAGTCTCATAGTATGATTTACAAATTAAACTTAAAGAGGAGAGAGAAGCCGGGTTTTTAAAAAAAGTAACAAAATTTAAAAATGTTGCTGCCAAAATCATTTCATGACCAGAATTTGCAGAAAGGCCAAGGCAGAGGTCCGGACCATACATAACAAAGTGACAATCCACAACATAATTCAAATCTTATCCCTACATGTTTCATATCTAGTCGGGTAGATCTACCTACTCTAACCACCCTACTTACCACCCCCCCCCCCCCTTCCCTTTAAAAAAAAAATATCGTCGATGATTCACCTGCACTGACATTACAGTAACTTGAATAGGTGGGATAATGTTATAGAATGAAGAAATATTTTGCATGTTAACAGTCGAATTTCGATAATTTTTCGCAATGACAAATACTTTGTACCAAGATCCAAGCACGCCACTTACGTTTTACTTTCTTTTTCTTGACGATTAATTGGAATATCAGCTTCAGAGTCCGAGTCCGAGCCTGAAGAAGAGGGGTAGTCTGCTACAAGAGACGTCATTTTTGTTAGTGTTGCCTTGTGCCCAACACTAGATGGCGTTTCACCCATCTTCATACGCTCCCCGTCCGCCCAAATTATGTGTTCAACTTTTCTTTTGTTTTGTTTGGGGAAGTGTTTGTATCTTCTGTACATTCATAAATAAAAATAATAATAATAATTAAAATTTTTGTATAGCGCATAACACATATTCACAATTACATTTCTCTATGCGCTTTATACAGAACAGAATGCAGAAGGAGTGAAAATGGTGGTGAGATCTTAGAAAGTGGTAAATACTTTTTTCTTTTCTCATTCACCCTCCATAATGTTTTTATTTAATTTACTTTTGTTTCTTTAGTTAGGATAGCACATTTGTTATTACCAAAGGGGTATTGGACATGAACATGAGAAAAGCAAATGATTTTTTTAAAGCACTAAAATCCCATTTTTTAAAATAAGACAATGATTAAATCGGTTGTTCAAACAACATGGTCGACCGGTCTGAAGTGGATGATCTTTGTGCTAGAGTAATAGATAATTGATCATGAGGAACCATTTTCAGCAGGTATGAATATGATGATAGATTAACACGATCAAGTGAACTTTGGACAAGAGTCAATTATTTTGAAAAAGGGGTAGCCTGCATAAATATAGCCCCCTCATTGGGAAATGCAAATTAATATCAATAAAACTTCATAAATAAATTATAGCTTAATAATTTATACTAATTTTGTTATCTTTAAAGATTCCTGTAAATGAAAGACAATAATGCATTATTAACATAATTATGTCGATCAAAGATATCGGGATCCAGTGTAATCATATATCATAGGCCTACGTGCACCTGATCCTTGAAGTGTGAAACTCCTTGGCCCCTCATGAAACTAAACATTCTCAATAATTATTCCTTTTAATGAGTATGACGAAGCAGGTCACAGCGGCGTTTACGTATTCAATTTTTCCTGAAAGTATCGGTATGAATATGCCTGAGGACTTTAGAGTTTAGACTCCTCTATCCCTTAGTTCGTTTTAGATTATTTATCCTGCGTATACCGGATCTTCGGAGTGAATAATGACTTGAATTGTCTTAGTTTATAAGTGTTACCTCATTAAGTTGTAGTATCGTCTGTGGAATCACAATGAGTGGAACATTGAATGATCTGACTGCTAATCAAGCCGATGCATTGAAAGAGGTAATATTATAGTTCAAGCATGTTTGCTCATTTAATTTACAGACCAGTCTTGCAAAGTTGTACACAGTGACCAACTTAGTCGGATGGTGTTACTTTGGGCTCTTTAGGGACAGGCCTATTCATACTTTTGAGATTTTCATTAAGTTTCACATCATTATCTAGTATTATGAAGATAAATAGTTAGTATTTTTGTTTGTAATTATATTTTACTGCCTTATGTCGTGGATATAATATCTGCCATGGAGCAGGGGACATGGATTACCCATAGCCCACTCCGGTCTTGAACAGTGTGTATACACACCGCTAGTAAGGTTTTTTTTTTTTTTTTTTTTTTTTTTTTTTTATATTGTTTGATTTCTTTCATTTCAGTGAAATCAATTTCTGTACAAAGATGAAAATTTCACAAATTTTGTCCTGGTTTTCATTACATTGCATTTGTCAGTTAAATGTTTTTAGTTCAATGCTTTCTGATTAAAAATTGTGTTATGTTGTTGTATTCTCATCATTATTATATAATGTATTATATAATTTATAAAAAGCCCAACAATCAAACACCCCAACAAAAACCCAGTTGTCACCTTAAGCCCCTACCCCCTTTTTTGAGATCCTAGAGCTGCCATGAATCTGTTTTTTTACCATTCCTTTACAGCTTAAATCAAAACTGAATGATATACAGAAACCAATCCATGATGTACATCAGCTGCTCCGCTTTCTACGAGGTAGTTTTTCTTCTTCCTTTTCACTTTTTAAAATAAATGTAATTGGTGCCTTTTATTCAATGTAACGAGAAAACGAACTTTGTTGTCATTTTTTAGAAACACACATGACTTGTACATACATAAATATTTATTTCATAAAATAACGTAATCAGTTGCGCTACGATTCATTTGACAGATATAGGCCTATTAAACAAATTAAAATTGACACATAGCCAACTTTAGCAATATTTGTGGTTAAAAACTGAGTAGGCATAAAATTATATCTTTTTACGACATGATACTAAAGTTAGAATGCCGCTGATACATATTCAGCTGTCATGTTATTCATCACCACATTCTAATAATATACTAGATGCACATAATTATAATTAGTTTAGTTACCCGAAGGTATTTCCAGTATAGATTTAGCATTGATATACATGTAATTGCAATTCTTTGTTTTTGTTTTAAATCGATTTTCATCATTAATATTCCTCCATCTATAGCTCGGAAATTTGACATCAAGAAGACAGAAGCCATAATTCGCCAGGTATGTCCGATCACATTTTTTTTTTACAGGACTCATTAATTTGGATTTACTATAGTCAGGCCCAAAGCAGAAAAACGAATATTCTTCCCCTCAGCTTTATCTCCATTTTAGAAAATGTATTCTTCTTCTCTGCGACAGAAATGATAGATTTTAATTGATTTAAAGGAGGGGAAAATCTAATTTGATATCTTGGTTTCATTTTCTTTGATAAGTCACTTGGCAAGTATGACATGAACATTTCTTACTCATTTGTCTACCAATTATGCTCGTGAACCGCAGTCACGTGCATTGTTGACATAATTCATTGTGATATCATTAATCAGTTGACATTAATTATAAACATATTATTTTCCCTCAATGCTCTATCTTAGCTACATTTTCTAATTTGTTTCCTCTTTCAATGAGCCTTCAAAATATCTAGAAAACCGCACCTATGTTTTTGTTTTGTTTTGTTTACATAAGCAACATTATCTGTAATTCAGAGATGAAAGATAACTGATGGTTTTATAATTTGCACACAATTTTTGTTTTCGTCTTACACGGCATTCGATGCTTTCAGGCTGGAGTTTGATATGCAAATACTATATAGCGATTATGACTATGAAAAAGCATGTCTGGAAATCAATAGCATACATGTAGGTATGAAAACATAAATTGTATTCTTCTTCTATGCGGCAGAAGTGATAGCTTTCAATGGATTAAACAATCGTATTTCATATCTTGGTTTTTTTTCTTTGATTAGTCACTTGGCAAAGTATGTCATAAATATTTCTAACACGTTTCTCTACCCATGCTCTTGAACCATAATCGCATTCAATGATAACATAATTCATTGTGATATTGTTAATCAGTTGACATTAATTATAAACATATTATTTTCCCTCAATGTTCTATCTTATCTGCATTTTCTATTTTGTTTCCTGTTTCAATGAGCCTTTAAAATATCTAGAAAAAATAAACAGCACCTATGTTTTTAGGATTTTTGTTTACATAAGCAACACTATATTTTATGTAACTCACATTATGAAAGATAATTGATGGTTTTATAATTTGCAAATCATCTTTGTTTTCGTCTTTCACGGTTTTCGATGCATTCAGACTGGAGTTTAAAATGCAAATACCGATATAACGATTGTATAGGAAAAAGCATGTCAGTAAATCAATAGCATACATGTAGGTATAAAACATAGAGTTTGCGTAATTTGTCTAGTGTGACTTTCACCATATCATTTGAAATTCGAAACCAAAACAGCACGTGAAAGATTTATCTGATTTATGAAATTAATGACAAACTTCCCTCACGCATACCGATCCGGCGAAAAAACATTTCATTATAATTTATGAATGGTTATCTTTGCTTGGCTTGTCATTATCATTTTGTTTGGCGATTTGATGTCGAGGAGACTATATCTTAATCATTTTTTCAAGAGGATTTCCTTTTGAATGATCAAACACAAAGAAGGACCTACATGTATAGTCATGATAAGACAGTGTAATATTTCATCGAATATTCCTTCTTGCTGTACGTGAAGGCTGTGAGAAAGAAGCTGTATGAAAATATTTTTCTTGTAAAAACATTTATGTAGAATAATTATAAAAAGGCTATAAACCAGGGTAGCGTTTCATGAAACACATTCGCCGACATCACGTTGAAATCCCACCCGCCCCCACCCCCCCCCCCCCCCCCCCCCCCACTCAGTGTAATTTAGGGTACGCATAATTATGTGTGTTCCCAGCAACCCCCCACCCCTTTTCAGCAAAAGTCCGGTGTGTAAAGTCAATACGGGTAGACCTTTTTCTTTTGTTATACGAGCCTTTTCAGCATCCCCCTTTTCAGCTAAAGTCCAGTGTGTAAAGTCAATACGGGTAGACCTTTTTCTTTTGTTACGAGCCGGAAGTCTTGGGAACACGCATGGTATCCCTCCGTTAGACGGAGTGGGGGGGGGGGGGTCGAAATGCATGTATTATACAATAACAAGCGTTTCAGTAGAATGTCGGTGAACTTGAAGTTATGCGGTCTTCGCGAAACGATGCACAGGGAACCAACAATTCAGGTCTATTTTTAAAAAATTGTCTGTCATATAACATTACACATGAAACTATTTCCAATTGCTTTCTTTTTTCTAGTATAGTCACAGCAGTTTTCTGCCTGCTTGATTGCATGTATTTCGACTTTAAGCAAGGTATCCTAAAAATTAACCAGTATATTTCTTTCCTCTAGGATATTGTGTGGCGAGCACAAATGAAAGTTGACACTATACACGAATGGTATAAGATACCCGAGGTATGCATAAATCATGATTTCTGCACTTGCTAGGTCCTATTATGAAAAAGAATGTTTTTACTTTTACGTCATCATTTTAAATATCTTTTATATTCATTTTGTTCAACGCGTCAGAAGAAAATCTATAGAGAAGGCAATTGACTAATTTAGACAAATAAGTAGCAGTGCAGACGTTCTGTTTTCACTATTTATAGACATTATATTTATATTATACTTTGCTTTCATGCTGGCATATAACAGTGATTTGATTTCATTTTATTCAATAAGGATGCATGTTGCACTAAAATATCGTGGGTGATTACATGAAACAATTACAACTTCTTTTTGGATTTCTTTCCTAACAATTTGGCTCAATCAAAGCTATACCGTTTCTTCCATAATATTCGTTTTCGTATTGTTACGGACGGCTGTATTCCCAGCCGTAGACCAGTATGTAAACGTTCGAAACCTATCGCATGTTTAATTGCATCTAGTGTCTCTTCATTGTGATAAAATGTTAATTTTCCTTTTCACTATTCTGAGTTTAGGTATGTCTGAAATACTGGCCAGGAGGATCACTAGGATTGGACAAGCTTGGTCACGTGGTATGGTTGAGTCCAATCGGGAATGTTGACCCCAAAGGTCAGTTATGTAACTTTACTTATTACGTTATTTACTCATCATCTTCCTTGATAATAATATGTCTAATTGTTTCAAGCGTTTGGTACAAAATTACACACAACTTTGTAGCTTTTACAGAGTTATAACTGTAAAATCGATACAGTCCTATTAAATTGTCATTCATTTTGTCACATACCTAAACAACTGATATACATAACTTATCTATAATAGCTGACTAGATCAATTGAGTACATATAAAATAAACATAATCTATACGCAGTAAATATTTGCATGTTTTATGAAGAAAGAAAGGAATCCTGCATATAAGAAAAACACATGCATCTCCTGACGATTTTTCAAATCATATATTCATTTTGAAACCATGTCATGTCATGAATTTAGACCCTAAGAAAGATATGAGTCTATAAAGTCATGATAGAGCAACCTTAGAAGTGATTTGCTATGTTTTCCTTTATATATATATATATATATATATATATATATATGTTTTTTGAATGCTTTTAAAAAAAATATGATTGTATGTTTGATGTAAACTCGCATGTTTAGTCTTTGGACTTTTTGACGAGATTGAATAAAACCTATTAATTTGAATTGAATTGAATTGAATCCCGAATCTTTTTGATTTTGTTAATGACAGGACTGATTTACTCAGTGAAGACAGGAGATATCATCAGAACTAATATATATGTCATCGAGAGAATGGTCAAAGAACAAGAAGTCATTTCTCAAAAGGTAAATATTGTTGAAATCCATCATTCATTCGTTTGTAAGGGTAATAATAATGAGATAATAAGGATTACATGAATAATTTTGATTATGGGTATCAATCTATTCATTTCAATAACTTAGCTGATCTTTATAATTGGATAACGTTTGTAATATCAGCATTCACAATTGGGTACCTGAACATTATCTAAGTATCTTATTGCTAAAATTAGCCTTTTGTTTACAGAAAAACTCTTATTCCCTGTCTCGACATAATTTATACGACATGCACAGTGATCCCTCACACGAAAGGGTGACATATTCTATGTACACTCTTGCCAATAGAGTTAGAATAATGTTTTTATGATCTCTTTTCATGAAATTATTGTGACGCTTATAGTTTATTATTCCATTGAAAGCTATTCTTCAACCTCAATAACTCTTTAGATATATAAATAAATGTTTGAGAAGATAAAACATGTAAATCAAAATCAGAACCATTTCTTGAAAAGAGAGAATAACACTATTTCCATATTTTGTAAAGGGGGGGGGGGGTAATTGAAAACCTCCAAAATCTATAAGATGTATGTATCGTGACATACAATGTCTATTTACATGAACAACTACATTCTTCTTCCATTGGGTATGAGTCTTTCGTTTACTCTTTCCTAAACTATAGCTGGGTCGTCATATTGAAGGGATCACACTCATCGTCGATCTCGATAACCTCAGCGCAAGTCACATGTGGAAACCCGGTATGGCCGTCATGATTGAGGTAACAACTCTTAATGTTAACGCCCCACTAGCTATACTTGCGCCATCTATATAGCAAACAATGCCTAATCGGTGCCTTTTTGTCCCCCATGATCCTCTTTTTCTTATGTGAACTGAGAGCTGATTTGATGAGATAACCACCTGTCAGTGACCTTGCAGGGAGGTCTAATCCCCCTGGCGAAACTATTGCAGACGGGCTTTAAGGAGAGAATCAAGTAGCTTCTCCGCAATAAACCACACGCTTTATAACGAACTAGCCTTCAACATGCACGAATAATATCGCTGACGAGGCCCGTAGTCACGGGGGGGGGAGGGCACGTGCCCCCCCCCCCAAAAAAAAAAAATGTCCAAGATCGGTTGAACTTGTTTAGACCCCTCCCCAGGACATCGATCAATGACATGTATGCGCCCCCCCCCCCCCAACATCAAACACGGCTACGGCCCTGTCGCTGACACAAACCTGCAGGACCTGCCCCCCCCCCCCCCCCACCTCCTGAACCCAAGATATCATTCGCCCAATGCATCCTAGAAAACCATTCAAAATTAGAATCTATACAAAATATCAAGAATGGTCATATGCTCTAAAAACTAAAGGTACATTTTTAAAAAGCTGGATCCAAAATCACTAAAAAGGTCTGAATCCAAACTGTTCGAAATTGTAATACATGTATGCCATTTTTATCACGCTGTTGCTCCTCGGCTCTTTTAAAAGAGGATTTAACATGTGAGTTTTTAAGAGTTTATCACATCATCATCGACAAGGCTCTTATACTTTTGCCAGATATTTGGAAATAATTGTGTGATGACGTCACCTTGAGTATGAGTGATGGTATTTGTTCACGATGCTCTAAAATGTAGAATTATTTTTAAAAAAATAACATAACAAGATATGCAAAACGTGTCTGACACTGCTTTGTTGATTTAATTGCTATGCAATCGTCTACATTTTTACTTTCACCATATTTCATTTCTTTAGCTGTTCACAATCATCGAGGAGCATTATCCGGGTTTTATTCATCAGATGTTTGTAGTCCGACCTACCAAGCTCTTACCGATAGCCTACTATCTCATAAGGCCATGCTTCACAGAAGATACCAGAGAGAGAATACATGTGTTAGGAAGTAAGTCCAACCTCTAAGATAAAACAATGATAAAACAAAAAACAAGCAAATTAAACCTACGAACACACCAAAACACCCTTTAACCAAACGTAAGTCATGACAATAATATTGTTGATTTTTAAGACGTGTTGGCCAAGTGGAAGTAGCAATGGGTTTGGAATCTAGAGACCGCGGGTTCGATATCATCTTCGGGTAAGTTATTTCCTCCTAAATCTATGATCCAGAGACGTACATGGAGGATAGTAATTACGAAAGATATACCAAAATTACTTAACATTGCTCAAAACGTGATCAAGACAGATGGTCATAAATTGGTTGCTGAAAAAGAAATAACGAGCGGTAATGTGCACAACATACATGCAGCTGTTTTTTTGTACCAGCCGATGTAGACTAAAGTCATGAAATATATCGACTTATCGAAATGTAATATTTCAAAATGGCAAATGGAAAAATGTATTATTTCACATCATTCTGCCTAAATCTAGGTAACTGGCGTGAGGTTCTCTTGAAGCACATAGATGCTGAGATATTACCTGTTCACTGGGGCGGTACTCTCACTGATACAGATGGGGTTCCTAACATGTGCCCAAGTAAGGTAAGAGATATAGCCAGGGGGGGGGGGGGAGGGGGGTTCATGAAACAATTTTATTAGTCGGTGGTTTTCACCGACTTATATCACTTTCGCCGACACTTAAGTGTCATCGACTATTTTCCAGGCCTCTGATTGGTCAAATTTAGTCAGCACTGACATTTGTCGGCGGACAAAATATGTTGATGAAATGCCCCCCCCCCCCTTTTTATCGGCAAACTCGCCGCCAAATATATTTTCGTATGTAACCAAATATAATGCATTACGTCTTAGTGAAGCGCCTCGATGCGAATATTTGATACACCTGTTACGAATAAATATATCTCAATGGTCAGAATTCAAATGGCATGCATAATTTAGGTGTTGCTAGGTAGGACAAACATTATGTCTCATCATCCTAACAACATGAATCATAATACAATATGACTATTGAAAAGCAATTATTCGTAAGGGCTATTGTACCCTTTCCCACTCACGTTTAGCGACACTTTCGGAGATTGTCTAGAATCTACGTCAAATGGGAACGAGCTTGTATATCGTATATCATGTACATGTAATCGTTTTTTTTTTTTTTTTTTTTTAATATTTTGTTAAGCTTGTTTCATAATTATGATATTAAAGAGTGACATCGTGCCTTCATTTATACAATAGAGTTTTAAATAAGATTACCTGTACATTTTTGTTATCGTTAAGTGATGAAGATTATGGCTCCTAAAAACTTCTTTGAATTTTCTTACTGGAGCATAATATCTAGGTGTAATCATTCCAAATTCCTTCCGGTATTTAATACTTATGCCTAATCATTTTAATGTTGTCATCAGAATCTAAATTGTAATCATTTGATCAAATGAATTTCCATTGGGCAAATTTTTACGAGAGACAAAACCATGCTTCAGAAAAGCCATCTTAAGACGCATTTACGCCTACGTTTTCTTATTGATCAATTATTTTGATTATATTTACACTTTCTGATGATACTTAGATCAACCTCGGGGGAAAGGTTCCTTCATTCTTCTACAAAAAAGGAAGTGACCTCAATCATGATGACATGACCTTCATGGAACTTCCGGGTAAAAGGTCAACTGAAGTCAAGCACAGAATCTCGACCGCAGGCAGTATCTTAAGGTTTGTCCTTTGTCATGTTTGAGGATTTCCACGGTGTCAGAGACAAAATAATTTATCAGGCTCAATAAAATACCCGGGTACTTACATAATGATTGCTCAGCGTTTATCGATATGTCTATAAAGGTGCTAAAACTGAATATCCCTGGTGTTTGAAGTTAGCAACAAAAGCAAAACTCGAATGCACAGTGTGTATAAAGTGTTAACACAGTGTGGACACGGTGTGTGAAGAGTGTAAAACAGTGTATACAGTGGAGCCACATTTTACACACAGTGTAATTTAGTGTGACTAGCCTGTACACACATTATGTCTACACTATGAGTACACAAAGCGTATACATTGTGAACACAATGTGTGAACATTCTCAACACAAAAGAGTTCTAAACTCACTCTGTGTTCACAGTATGTTGTGAACACATCATCGTTGATATCTCTGTACCATGGTCATCACATATTATAAACAATGCATTGAACATAGAATGTCACTCACTTTGACAGCACTGTGAATATTTCCCGGGCGCACACTGTGGTCTTCATGCCCACAGTTTATCGCATTGTTTCTTACCCTGTGTAGTCGCATAGCCAAGAATAGCAGCTAACATATCGTAGGAAATGTATCAATATAATTGAGCCGATCGGGCAAATTTTGTTTTTTTTTCTGCTATAGTTACGAGTTCAAGACAGCGTCCAACGACATTGCTTTCGGGATCTACCGGTTGTCGGAATCTGGAGAGAAGATCTCTATCTTAGATGAGAAGAGGTATAGCAGTCATATCATACCGGAGGATGGAGAAGTACTCTTTGAAGAACCCGGATTGTGTAAGTTATATTTATAGATATCATCTTCATTTTGCTCCTCCCCTTCAGATCGAATATATTTTTGGGGAAGTGCCTATTTCTCTATTTAACAAAAATAATTCTTAATCTGTGATAATCTATAGTCATCACGACTGATACGCCCTATGTTGTTGTCGTTTTTCCAATAAACAAGTATTAAGTTGTTAAGACACTTTTCGTTTTGACCGTCTGTTCATTTTCAACCTTCGGCAGTCTCCTTTTAAAATTATGTTACAAAAACCATTTCTTCAAAAATTCTTTCTCATTCAATCCCCCAACTCCAGATGTGGTGAAGTTTGACAACCGCGGAAGTGCCTTCCAGAAAACACGCAAGTTGAGCTACTGGATGGAGGTCATTGAACCCAAAATCGAACGATCGTCAACAGGAGGCGCCTTCTTTAACAATCCGAGAGATAGTGGATATTATCAAGAGAATCAGTATATGACACCAACCGGACCTAAATAAAATCCCCTTTCTTAGCATAATCAAAGAGGACTGTATAAATGATAATAGTCCAGAACCTTCTTCTTTTTCTTCTCTCTGTCTCTATTGGCCTCTCTCTCTCTCTCTCTCTCTCTCTCTCTCTATATATATATATACATATCTCCCACTCTCTCTCTCTGTGTCTCTCTTGCGCGCTCTGTTTCAGTATAATATATACTTGTTATGTTATGTGGAGGTTAACGGTTCCAATCCCAGCGCGGCGTTCTATTATAATGTTCTTTACCAAGGTATCCGTCTTCATTTGCCACTCTCCTCCCAGTTGTAATTGGATGCTATAGAGCGCCACGTACATCTTTCTCGCTCGGCTACGGTCGGATAAATGGAGTGCTATTTGAAACAATGTGACTGACATTAGCTGTACTAAAATGACATTATTTATCGGTAGTGCTATTATATCTTTGCTCGTATATATATATTTGTAGGGTGCTCGATCGGTATCGGGAACTATTAAGGATATCTTGCGTTTCATATTTCTATCATTTTCTGTATTTAAAATGTAAATGTGAGAAAAAGTCTTCAAAAAACAACTGAAGGAAAGCAAAGACACTTTTCTACAGTTAGTTCTCAACTCATCGTTTAAAAAACTACTAAACCAAATTTGTTTTCTTATGTACGTCTTGAAGAAGAAAATATCACTTCCCCACTATCAGATATTCAGACTGCATAATTATTATGTGTATATATTATAATGTACAATATCGTTTTTAAAAAGTACATGCAGTTAATATCAACAATTTGTAGGTGCATAAATAATTGACATGTTTGAGGTACATATTTCCACCAAATGAATAATATTTAGGATAGAAGTGACCGTTTAAAGGTAAAGACCAGTTATGGTCATGCGATTGCATTGTGAAATAATAATAATAATAATAATCCGGTTTTTTATATAGCGCTCAATACACCGATCCAACGATGTACCTAAGCGCTTTACAGATATATTATTACCCCGGTCATCGGATTCAGGCTTACCCGCACACAATGTGTGCACATTTTCCAAAGAAACGTTGTGGAATCGATCAGAAAAGGTTGATCATCTAGCATCTAGCATCTGCAAGGTTCTGGAATCATCAAAATGATAAGAAATTTGGCCCATTCTTCGTAAAGTTACAAGCACTATACACAGAATGATGTATATGGGACTACCCTATATCTCTCACAGACCATGAGAGAAACAAATTTACCAAATATATGAATTAGTAGGCGGTTTCCCGGCAAATTTTTTATCATCATGTATTAGTCAAAACATATTCTTTCACATGATTGGTAATGAGAGCTTCCATTTCATTTTTTGAAATTGGGGCGTTTCCAATACTGGTCTTTATCTTTAATGGTTTTGCGTTTAAAACATGACATTATCATCCATATGGACTGATATAAACTGGTCTTTGAGCAATAGAAAGTTTGATTGTGCTTTTTTAATAACATGTCGATAAATCTTGAATATCATTATTGTGTAACTTACCTTCAGAAGTTCACCTGCATGTATACAATTTTAACTCTATTTTCTCTTTATTATTTACATCTCTCAATCTATATCAGTCTTCGTGGGCTACCTACTCCGTCATTGTTGTAATAAACAGTATAGTATTAATTCTCAGATTTGTCTCAGTTCTCTCGGTTATAGAATACTGTCATATGATAATGTTGGAGATGTTCAAGTATCTTTGATTTGACATTCTCAAATTTATCTTTTACTTAAAACAAATGGCAATTTTATATTATCAATTAAACTTGTAACTCACGAGTAAACATTCAAAATTCTTGTTTAGTTTGAAATATATTTTAATGTATTATCAATGTACGTTTAGGTCATGTAATTTTTACTCTGTAAATTGTTGAACATATTTAGCTGGTAGTTGATTATTCGGTGATCTTTATCTTATCAACCAAACCAATAAAATGTTACGTAGCTTAATCATGTTAGGAGCAGTACGTATAATATTACACGGATGGCGTATGAAATATATTTGTTTGCAATGTTATGCTGGAGTTGTCTTTAAGACTTAGACTGTTGTAGAAGCAATAAAACACTGTTCTCTTTCGAAAAAACTCAAAATATTGAGTTTACAAAAGAAGATCTAAAGGGTTATAAAATCTTTAGAATTCAAATACAATAATTATACAATCTTCACTAGGTTATAAAATACTGTCATATGATAATGTTGGAGATGTTAAAGTATTTTTGATTTGACATTTTTGAAAAATTATCGTATTTTATCTTACTTTCCTAACCCATCAATGGATATTGAGCAATGATGTTAGTGTTAAATATATTTCTTCACATTTCAGGTGTTTCAACTTATTTTGTTGTTGCTATCAATGTAGTAAAAGTGGAATACCTAGAAAATATAACACTCTCATGGATCATTTTTATTAAGTAAATAAAAACCAGTGTTGGAATTACAATGGTCCTATATATTTTTTTGGTTGTTGTTTGTTATGGTTTTATTTTATTATATCGCAGCTCCCTCAATACTCTGCATGCATCGTACTTTAAGCACAAGAGGGCGCGAAATGATTTCATCCATAGCTATATACTCATTTAAAACAAAAATATATACAATACGCTATAATTTCCTCAGGAAGGGTGCATGAACAGGTAGGTTCGATAGAAAGAACATACATTTACTAGCATAATATATACATGTACTTGTGTATGGAGAGCAGCTGATCAAAGAAAAGGGGGAGAGAGAGAGAGAAAAAAAGAGAGAGAGAGAGAAAGTGATATAGAACAAGTTATGTCTGCAGGCAGACGCGTACGCAGGGGGGGGGGGGGGTTGGGTGTTAATCCCCCCCTTCATTTTTTTTATGTGTTTATTTTGGAGCAAACCCCCCCCCCCCCTTTGTGTTTTTTTAATTTTTTTTATTAACACATTTTTTTAAAGAAAAATTATTCAAATGGCTGACCTAAAAAAGGTGACCTTACCCCCCCCCCCCCCCCCCCCCCCAACAAAAAATCATGCGTACGCTACTGTCTGCAGGCAGAACGACATGAGATTGGGCGAGAAGAAACTAGAGAAAATAGGGGAAATGAGAGAGAGAGGTCGGGGAACAGAAGTATAATAGAGATAGATAGATGGAGAGAGCAAGTAAGAAATTAATCATGAGAGAGAGAAAGAGAGATAGAAAAAGACATATATAAATAGATACATAAATACATATATAGATAGATATAAAAAGATAGAATGTAAAAGAAAATGAGAGAGAGAGACACACAAAGAAAGAGAAAGAAAGGGAGATGACCAATACCAAAAGTTACAAAGTTGAAAGGTAACGTGTAAGTGCTACGATGTTTATTTTTAAAGAAAACTAAAAAGGAAAGTGGCAGGGATTATATTTTTCTCACGGAATTTCATGTCTGGAAATGACCGTCCATTCTGATTGTTTTTACTTGACAAATTACGTTCTTATATAAACGTCACTCCCCTAAAAGATCTATTTCAATCTCTCCTTCCTCTCTCTCTCTCTCTCTCTCTCTCTCTCTCTCTCTCTCTCTCTCTCTATATATATATATATATATATATATATATATATATATATATATATTATATATATATATATATATATATATAATGTTTATATATACACACATAATTATATATCCTTGTCTTTCTTTAAAAAAAATCTTCTCTCTCTCTCTCTCTCTCTCTCTCTCTCTCTCTCTCTCCCCTCCCTCCCCCTCTCTTCCGTTCTCTCTCTCTACCTTACTCTCCCTCTCTCTCTCCCTCTCCCTCCCTCTCCCACTCTCTCCCACTCTCTCTCCCCCCCTCTCTCTCTCTCTCTCTCTCTGTCGAAATTTTCCAATACCCTAATCATAGAGAGACCCACAACATGGGTTCACATTTAGGAGTATACTAATACGAGGAGTGCCATGAAGGAGTGTCCAGAGTATTACTCCAGGGTTGGCAGGTTTAAACAAAAAAACATATTCGTCAAACTGTTGCAAAAACGTTTCCATGTTCCATAATAATATGATACATGCACTATCTACGATATCAGTTATTCGTATAGGTGCTATTGATCTTTTAGATTTCCACTCTGGGCCGTTGTTAGCTTTTTTCTGAAGGTGACTTTTTTTTCTCGAAGAAGCCTAATAGTTGTCCCACTCTCATCTACTTGTAATCATTTTCTCAAATTCTTTTCTTACTTTCTCATTATTTTATACAATTTTACGCGTAATGGTCTACGGATTACTGAGGATGAAGGGGGACGGGGGGGGGGGGGGGCAAGGGGTAAGCTTATCAATTATTCCAATATCTATAGAAGGTTTGTGAAAGGTTCTTGAAGATAACAAACCGACAAACAAATCGTTCCGTTTTGGATTTCCTGACGGGCTTTAAAATTGAGGTAAACATGCGACACATTTCCTGCTTGTACTTTAAAAGTAGTCTGGTGCTCTGGTTACTGTTTTGGCTGGAAAAGGAGATTTTTCGGAGCCTTACATAATATGAGCTATTTACAGAGAGAATAAATAAGCCAAGTCTAGACATTCAATAGTTATAAAGTATTAAAATGGGTTTATAAACACAACATCATATAGGCCTACATATCTAATTTACTAAATGAGACTGCTCAAGCTTTGTTGAGGTTATCAAGTCAATGTAGCCATCAGATAAACTATAAACTTTGAATTAAAGTATCTTGAACTACACGTCCAGCCAGTGCGAACATAATCTGTATCAGTCATTTCCTGACTGCTTTACTGGAAATACAACAACAACAAACACACAGTTCACTATAACTTCACGAAAACACAGACATGTTATTAATCATAACAAATCAGATGTGAGAAGTAACGAAAAGGTCCAGTCAAAACAAATATATGCGACACCAAAAGAATCACATTAAGAATGTTTTACACACAAAAATGTTGCCCTATGCCCCTATCCGTCTAAATGATCTGATAATCAATAATTGTATACTGTATAATTCTCTTCTGAATAAACCTGTTATGTAAGTGAGCAGGTTTAAATGTTTTGTTTAATGGTTTCTCACGACCAGTTTTTCTGAATTAGCTTTTCATTTCTCAAGTGTACGTTCAAGATTATCCTCTTCGTATTGATTAGGACCCTAAGTCTAAAGAAGGGCAAACATTACAGGCGACATGTCCCCTAAATACAACATCCGTGGTTATGGATAATCGCTTCCTGCCGTTGGTTTTAATCGGCTTTTAATGCAGGTGAATGAAAAGGAATTGATCAGTCTTGATCTATAAACATGGAACAAAAGAAATGGGAACAGATGGTATAACGAGCTCAAGATATGAACTGAGAGAAAGAAAGAGAGAGAGAGAGAGAGAGAGAGAGAGAGATGGAGAGAGAGAGAGAGAGAGAGAGAGGGGGGGGAGTGGGATGGAGAGAGAGAGAGAGAGAGAGGGGGGGGGGAGTGGGAGAGAGAGAGAGAGAGAGAGAGAGAGATAGAGGGGGAGTGGGAGACAGACTACGCTTAGAAACATGGGGGTCAGAAAGCATGTATAACGAAATACTGTATAGATTGAGATGGGATGAATAGGAAATAAAAGGGAGAACGTGAAAGAGAAAGAAAGAGAGGGGGTGGGGGATGAAGGAAATAGCACAAAAGAGGAAGAAGAGGAAGAAAGAAAGAAAGAGATAGGTTACGAGGAGATAGGGGAGCAGTGAGCAAAGCAGGTCGACTCCACTGGAAGAGAGTGTTATCAGCAGTTAGACAAACCGGGGAGGCAGATAATCTTTAATAGCTTTTGCGTCTGACGTCCATCCCTAACAAAAATATCCTTCTTCTCACGCCAAAGAGCACCAAAATATTGTGCATATTTCTGCTTTTCTTTGAACAATGCCCCTGGTTTATCAAATCCACATCTCAGGGGTTTGTAACTGATGGGCCAAGTATGATCATGCGTGCGCCTTTGTAAACGCACCAGGAGCAGCGATCAACGTTAATCTAAACAGCATACGATCAATTGATGTTGGAATGTGAGCATTGCTTCTACCGGTTATCTATCGGCTAATTACTTTCTGGACTGTAGCTGGTTTGTTGCTGGTTGCTGACGGTCATTATATGTCCATGTAATAGTGTCCATGGTATGTCCTAATGATATATGGTGAACAATTAGTAGACGTCTTCAAAGCATCCACACTGCATTTTCTGTCTGCTTGAGTGAAACATCAATTTGTCCCGTTCTCCAGTTTGACGAATCGTTCGAATCCTTCTTCAGATATACTTTGTAAGTCTATATATTTTTCTAAATTATTCTTCATTGCGTTATATTATAATATATTCTTCTGACATCTCTTGCAAAGGCACATGTGGACATGTTTTGTTGCTCATCGAAAGTAATGGCGTCAGATTGAAATAACAATATACAGCAAAACCTTTGGTTGCTGACTATATCGCTTTCATGATCCGTCACTAGCCCACCTCTAGTGCATGGAGAGGAGACGGACAACATTATAGGCCTGCTCATATATATAAAGATGCTCTGACAATGAATAAAATATTTGCCAACAAAATGAAGATGTTAGTATGTTGCTGATTTAATTATCTCTAAATATCCGTCAGGCGTGGAGAGGGGGAGCAAATAATGGGAAGTTATAGCTCTTAAAGTGGCTCGGTAACAGCTAGTATTGAAGGTTGATGAAAAAATGTGTAATTTGTGTATGAAGCGTTACTTATTATATTCCTTCTACTGTTCTAACCCTCTGCAAAAAAATCCTGAAAAATATGATCAAACCACCAAGATACTTATTTTTTAAGGCGTCACTTTGTGACACCCTCTAACAGTAAATTCTCCCAACCGTTTTCGAATTTTCCCAACCGTTTTTCCATGAAAATAAGACATAAGACAGGCTTTTAATAATCTTTTCAACGCTTAAATGTCTGGAACGGTATATAGAGACTCAGTACAATATATAAATGAAAGCTGAAATTAATTTCGGCCATACGATTGAAAAAAAGTGTGTATTAATACTTTAATCTATGTATCCCATTATTTCGTCCATTTAATAAATGTAGAAACATCATGAAGGCCTTATGTATCTTCCTGCTCTGTGCTGCTACCTCATACACGTATGGCAATACTCCAAACGAATACGCTTGTCCACATGCATGGACTCAGCGAAATGGCTACTGTTACCGGTACTTCGATGACATGTTACCGTGGTCCATAGCGGAGTCGAGGTGTCATGAACACTTCGATTCCGACGGCATCGCCCATCTCGTATCAATTCATGATCAAGCTGAGAATGACTTCATCTTTGACATATTCAACTCGGCGAACGGTGATCATGGTGATCTCGATAACGTAAGTGTTACATTCTTTATCTTTATCTTGAGAGAGAGAGAGAGAGAGAGAGAGAGAGAGAGAGAGAGAGAGAGAGAGAGAGGAGAGAGAGAGAGAGAGAGAGAGAGGGGAGAGAGAGAGAAAAAGAGAAAGATAGAGGGATTCGAAATTGTATTTGATTTTCGTTTTTCGTTAGTTTCAGATAAAGAATGTGGTTATTTCACCATTTTGGAGTTAGCCCATAGAGGTGGGTTTGAAGAAAAAGAAAAGCATTTAGGTCCAGAAAATAAACATAAGGAAACTTAATTATTTTGCTCTTGATTGTGCGTGTCAAATCATACTCTTACTCAATACCCAGTAGAAAGCGGCGTATAGTCAGGGTAGTCAGCGGGGAATCGCTCTGCTTTGGAGGGTTAGGACACAAGAGGATTTTTTGTAAATAGGGAGGTTGTACTTCAGGAATCTGCCATGTGTGGGAGGGGCTGTCCCAGGTCCCACGTAGTCTACTGTTAGACGATAATGTTTGAAGAGGGAGAGAGAGAGAGAGAGAGAGAGAGAGAGAACAAAACAAAACAAGTGAGAGAGAAAGAAGGGAGAAAAAAGAGAGAGAGATGCGATATGAGATACAGGAAGATAAATGAAGGGGAAAATAGAAAAGCAGTGGAAAGAAAGATTGAATAGGATTGAGTGAAGGAGTGTAGAGTTATTTTAATACACCTCATTGAGACCACTAATGGCATCCCTTCAATAACATTCAGTCATTATATAAGAGATCAGACATTGTCCCTCACACGGTATATCCCGTTTCCTTCCTCACCAGACAATAAAGGTTTTAATAGTTAGGCTTTCTTTCAAATCATAGGCGTAGCCGATGGGGCGGGAGGTCGAGAGGACCATGTTTTCATTCTCTATTTTTTCTTCAAGGAAGTATATGTGACTTTGTGTCCATGCACCCCTGCCCCTGTTCCACGATTCTGGCTTTGCTATTTGTTCCCATTAATGATCTTCTTTTCGAGGCCATATATAACAAGTTTGTTCACATTAACTTGGTCATAACACCAACATATAAATTCTAATTAAAACAACCATCAAAGGTAAGAGCAATAATATTTTACCCTCTAAATCCCTGTTTCCCTTTCGATATCCCCGTTTCCCCCTTTGCATCATGATCTTCCATGTTTCAAATACAAGGTTTAATACAACATGATCATGTTATGTGAATTATCGTTATGATGAGGTACTCGAATTCTTTTTTAATGTAGTTTTGATGACAGTAAATCTACAAAATTATCACGTGATTTTCCTTGACAATGTAGTCTCGATCAAGTGGTTATTGACGTTGAGAAGCTCCATATTTTCCTCCGGTTTTTTCTTAGGATGAGTCAGGAGTTATAGAAAACATATTCAATTATTTATTAGAATGCGGTGTATAAAAATAGTTGTTCCCCCTCTCAAACTACTTACACTTTGTTTCAGATACTCACCCGAAATGTTTACTTTTCTTTTGTTAAATTTTACGTTAATTAAAAGGACGGTGATTTAGGCATTAAAATGTCTTTAAAAAGGGCAAGCTATGATATTAATTGAAGAAAAAAGAACTTTATCCGAATAATAATATTCACTTGATAATCCCAGTACGTTTCTGGCAATTTCGTCATTCCTAATTATGAAATTATCAAATCGTACATGCCCGCAATGACGTCAAATGCGTCATCAAGCCACGTGACCGCATTACCTTTTTGAGGGGCGTAGCCCAGCAAGCGTGAGATCTGTGGAAAATGGATGGTTATTATCATTTTATGGTCAATTTAGAGATTTTCTAAAAAATTAGAGGCTGGAATATTAATAAGTAGAGGTGTATTCATGTTTTAAAATGCTATGTTACTTGGGTTAGAGTGGCCCTTTAAAAACGTTTTTTCTGTATTCCGTATTTCATTGCCCTATAGACAAATACTCCTGGCACTGATCTACCCACCGGGATGTGGACGGGACTCCACCAGGAGGTACGGGATGGTCCTTGGGTGTGGTCGGATGGGTCTTCCAATGACTTCACCCATTGGTTACCAGGACAACCCGATAACGGCTACCATGCACGAGGTCGACTCAACGAGGACTGCGTCATCATATGGCGGAACGACATCGGCTCAGAGTCTACACGACAGTGGGACGATATCGGATGCGACGTCCAGGGAGGAATGCCTTACGTTTGCAAGATGCCGGCCGTGCCCGAGTTCAATGACGTCGAAGACAGCAGACATCATCAACGCATTTTGTGAGCAGTGTACGAAGCAGTAAGAACTGATTGAAAAGGACGATGCAAACATAACAGATACTTAAAGAAGTCTGAGTGCGTTACAACTGAATTGTGAAGCATATACTATGTCCATACTCTCCTGTTTCTTCGGTCTCATAGGCCTTCGCTCTCCTGAGCGTTCGGTCTCGTGAACCTTTTGTCCGTTGGATGCATCCCGTATACTATCCTTTCTTTGCAATGTGTAATATAATTATAAACATGAAGTCGATTTCAGTGTGTTTTAGGATTTATATTTATTACTCAAAATGTAAAAACATATTCCATTATTATAGACATTTACGAATCATGCTTTATACAAATAAAACATTAAAACATAATCGTAGGCTCTAATCAACTTAACTTGATAAATGACTCAAAATTCAACGTAGGATTCTATAAATACTATATATTGTTTGATGTCCAGAAGAAATTCAGAATAAATAATCATCATCAGGATTATAAAATCGTCTTGAAAAATATAATACGATAACTTCCATTTTTAATGCTTCTGTGACCTTAATCCGGGATTTGAGGTCTTTCAGTTATTAAACAATGCCAAACGACTACTAGTCAAGTGTGAAATATTAATCGGAGTTGTTTCTATGTATATTTATACAGGTATACAAGTCAACAATAAACACAACATCATTGTATCTTATTTCATAACTAATGTTTTTTCATAGATCATTCTGAAAAAAGAGAACAGTATCAAACAAGATCTGAAATGTTGAATCATAAGTTTTATATATATATATATCTGATGTCCTGGATATAAGGAAATAAAGTAGCACTTAGGCACTAAGTAAAACATAATCTCGAACGTTGTTTGATATTTGGTTTACGCGCCAATAGCTGATTCTTCAAAATAACCGTCCAATAAATAAACATTTTGTCAACGTGATCGTTTAAGTACTATAGTACATATTATTCTTTTTTTTTCATCTTTCTATATAATAGAATGACAGAAAGATGAAAAATGTAATGCACATTGGGGAAAGAAGATTCAATAATCATAGATAAATAATTTAATGGAAATCTAATAAATATTTAATATTTCGTAGTAATCATTTGCGCAATCAACTACATGTATATTATCTTGCTTGCAAACACTTTTGGACCAATTGCTCAAAGTGCATTTTTAAGTCATGAAATTAATGTAAGCGACATCTAACGGCGACGGAGCTTTGCTATTTCGTTTACAAATTTGAATCAGGGTTAGTCCAAGATGATTTTGGGATGAAGATGAAGATGAATCTGAATCCACCTTACAAGGAGTTACGATTGACACTAGTCAATCCCAAATCCTCCAATCGATCGCAACTGCACAGTCTCCTATCTCAAAGGTTGTTAGGTACACAGCCGAGACTGATTTCAAGTTGCGATCAACTAGAATCATAACTCTCAGACATGGTATAATATACAAGACGCCAGGACTAAATACGCCTTTATGAAAATCGGACTCTATATAAATAACGATAATAAAAACAGGGTATCTGTCAATACGTCAATCTACATTTGCATCTCTCGACCCAGATAAAGTAAAATATGTACGTTAAAGAAGAATTCACCACATTTTATCTGGGTATAGCTAGGCTAGGGTCGGGGTAAAAATCCCAAACTCGGTAAAAGCGCAAAGATACATTTATAAAAGGTGTAGCGTAAGTCCATGCCTTGAGGGGCGGGGGCATTGGTCTTACTCGAAAAATGGAAATGCAAATTGAATCCAGGGCTACTGGTCAGGGGGGGGGGGAGTTTGGGAGGTTGTCAAGAAGGTTCTTTTTGTCGACCTTCTCCCTTTTTCTTTCCTTCTTTTGACGCTTTTTCTTCTTCATCATTCGGTGGTGTTTTTTCGGGGGGGGGGGGGGTCGGGGTTGGATTGTGCCGACTAGGACTTAAGTGAAGGACATATTCCGAGACAATCCTTTCATCGGCCCTTGAATTTGACTCTGAGGTCGAGGTAAGGTCGACGAGCGTTCCAGCGAGTTCGAGCGGTTTCTCGATGTCGGACCTCTGTCATCGAGGTAACCACTGTCTCTTGTGATCTCGTCCAAGGATTCTCCGAGCATGTGATCAGTGACCTCGAGGCGTGGTTCAATGACCTCCATCCAGTAGCTCAGTTTGCGTGTCTTCTGAAAGGTGCTCCCATGGTTGTCGAATTTCACAACGTCTAGGAGAATTAAATTTGAGGCACGATATTCATTACATGAGAAAGGTTCAATTCAGTGAGGGATTTTTAAATTATTCAAGAAATGGCATCCTTTGTATTAATCTGCATTTTACCCTTTCACTTCGCTACAGTGATTCTGACGCAAAAACAGCAATAATCTGTTGGAAGAATCTCAGAATCTTCAGAAAGTCAACAGGAGAGTATGAAAGCTTGCCTACTAAACTTTTAGACTGATAGAGAAGCTATAATGGTTACTTCGGCCAAGTAAAGTTTTCAGTATTGTCCATATTGATTCGGATAAGCATTACGTCTGCGTATATGATATCGTATTTATTCGACTCAGATTTCCTTGTTGAAAAATTGTTTTGACTTAGTCACATAATCAGTGGCGTATTTGTAAATTAATTAAGGGGGGCAGAGAGTTTCTGTGATACGGAAGGTATCCACACTTGCCTTACAACCTTGTAAGTATAGCAGGATTTATTTGTATACGCCTTCTAAACGGGTGGGGTGTACATCGGCTCCATTTCATGCTAAAGTAGGTCCAGTTTTCATTTCAGTTCGAATACATTAGGGGAAAAACTATCCAAGTCACAACAATATTTTAGTTATCTTGAAAAATTATGCATTTTTCAAAGATTAGGTGACTGAAATAAAGGGTGAGTGGGACGGAATATACCTGCGTTACCGAAAGCATGACAGACCCTTGTGTCTTATACTGATTTCCTTTTCTCTTAGCCTTCAAATGGATAGGGGCGTACTCCACATTTTGCTGGAATCACCACATTGCATGTATACTTACACAATCCTGGCTCTTCAAAGAGGATTTCTCCGTCCTCTGGCACGATATGACTGTTATATCTCTTCTCTTCTAGGATGAAAGTCTTCTCTCCTGAAGGCAAGAATCGGTAGATCCCGAAAGCGATGTCGTGAGATTCCGTTTTGAATTCGTATCTAATCATCAGAAAGGAAAACAAAAAATTAAGCAATTTATTTCTGAAAATCACCACGATTTCACTTTTACAAGTACAATGAACGAAACAATTTTATATTCAGTATTATTCTAATGAATTCGCCCCAACATGAGATGGAATAAACTCCCTTTTATCACATTCAGCTGATGAGCCCAGTACAGTTTACTATCTAAAATTTGACAAAATTTAGTGAGAGAGTGAGAGAGGGACAGAGAGAGAGAGGAAAAAAAAAAAGAGTGAGAGAGAGAGAAAGAGAGGAAAAAAAGAGTGAGAGAGAGAGAAAGAAAGAAAAAAAGAGTGTGAGAGAGAGAGAGAGAGAGGGGGGGGGGGTAATGCACTTTGGGTGTGCATTACCATTTAAACAGTTTTCCTTCTTCAGAATAAAACGCCACCTACCTGAATATGCTGCCGAGTGTCTTGACTTTGTACTTGATCTCAATCGACCTCTTACCCGGAAGTTGTTGAGATGTCATGTCAGCATGTGTGAGGTCACTTCCCTTCTTGTAATAAAACGACGGAACTTTCCCTCCTAGGTTAATCTGTTAGATCATAACAAAGAAAATGTAATTATGATGTACACCGGTAACTACATTAAAATATAATTGCTTTAAACTATCACCATGTGCTGGATACCCTACCGTATATTTTATACAAGTTTCAAAATTCTTTATTTTGAGGGTGATAATTGTGTAGGCTATTTCATCAATGCGGGATTGATCATACCTTGCTAGGGCACATGTTAGGGTTGCCATCAGTGTCTGTCATGGTTCCTCCCCAATGAACCGGAAGGACTTCAGCATCTATGTGCTTCAAAAGAACGTCACGCCAGTTACCTGTAGAGAAAACCAGGAATAAGACAAGCCTTCAATATGATGTAAGACTAACTGTACATGATAGAATGCATAGTAATATACTATCATGTCACAAGGGCGTCAATTATATCCCCAATACATTCAAATACAACAAAACGGAAACGTCACTCTTTGATGGGGGGGGGGGGGGACATCTCATGCCATTCAAAAAGTTTGGAAAGGCTAGTGAAATAAAGTGTTTGTTGCATATGGATCAAGAAAATTGTGCCTATAAATTGTGTTCTCCATTTTGGGGGGCACTTAGATTGTCTCAATCATCCGATTATCCCGCCGATTAATTCAGTTTAGTTCAATTCACGTTTTTATTATGTAAACATGCATACACAAATACACAAATATTGAGAGATACAATCCATCGCGGCTAAACACCGAATCTCTGAGGTTATCACATATTAACAGATTGAAACCATGGAGTATAAGGTAAAATGAGCGTATGAACAAGAAAGAAATATCAAGTTACAATATTTTGTTTAGATCTGATACCACTACCATGACCACTGTCTTCAAGTCACGTATAAAATTCCACTTTATATGAGAATCAATATTATTGAGGGAGACATACCGCCCAGTGCATGCATCTTGGATCTGGTGCCCTCATCGAGGAATGGTTTGAGGAGGAAGTAGACGGCTGGAAAGATCTTGGTAGGTCGCACGATGTACATACGATGGATGATTTCGGGATAATGCTCTTCGAACAACGAAGCGATCTGGGGGTTAAAATCATAATATTTTCATAAACTATTACTTAGCAGACAACTTTCTCGAATTGGAACAAGGGATGTATTTTGTCCAGTCATTAAGAGGGTACTGGTGGCATAGGGAAGGTGTCATGGGGGAGGGGTCATGGGGAAGGGGTCATGGGGGAGGGGTCATGGGGGAGGGGTCAAGGGGAGGGGTCATGGGGGAGGGGTCAAGGGGGAGGGGTCAAGGGGAGTGGTCATGGGGGAGGGGTCATGGGGAGGGGTCATGGGGGAGGGGGCTCCGTCTAACTACGTGGATGGCATGCGAGAGGAAAAGAAGGCCGATCAAATGAGGGGAATTTTTGTATTATTTTATTGTTGAAGGTTGTATTTTCATTTCACTCTACCTTCCGGTTCTTCCATTCTCTCTCTCTCTCTCTCTCTCTCTCTCTCTCTGTCTCTCTCTCTCTTCCATCTCCCCTCTCTCTCTCTCTCTCTCTGTCTCTTCCTTCCTCCCTCCCACTCTCTCTCTCTATCTGTATGTGTGTGTGTGTGTGTGTGTGTGTGTCTCTCTCTCTATCTCTCTATCTCTCTCTCTCTCTCTCTCTCTCTTTTCCTTTTCGCAATTTTGGTTAGGGTGGTGGCGTGTGTCCCTGTGCCGCTTTGCCTCTCGGGATATTACGCAACAAAGTGACGGTATAGTGAATGAAAATCGCATACACTTTGCGTTACGATTTTCCTCACTACCGTCACTTCGTGAAAATAGGGACTTTTACTATGCAAAAGTGATAGAATAAGGATAACATTTATCATCGCAATGTTCTATCTATACATGGAATTGAAATAAGGTATGCAATTCAATGCGACCAATATAGGCAGGAATAAAGCGAAAGGCACGGAGAGAGAGAGAGAGAGAGAGAGAGAGAGAGAGAGAGAGAGAGAGAGGGGGGGGAGAAAGATTTGTTTTAAAAATAAATGCAACTTGTTTGTGATAATGAAATCCAAATGATTATGTAACATACCTCAGTCATGACTTTCATGCCTGGTTTCCATATGTGACCTGCGCCTAGGTGTTCAAGATCGACGATGAATGTGATGCCCTCAATGTGACGACCAAGCTAAGGATTAAAAACAACAACGATACTCAATCATATTTTAATACATATCTTGCTTGGACGTATGTCTTCAATATATTTGATCCATGACGAACTGTAATGGCGTTAATCCCTTAAAACATTTTCTCATTTTATTTATAGTCGTTCCTCCTAGTTTCTTTGATATCTTTCTTGATAGCAATTTTTTATTCTTTTTTCTAACTTATCTTTACATTTTAAAAATTCAGATTTTCACACTCATCCCTTGTCTGTCTCAGTCTCTTAATACCGTATATTGTTATCTCATTGTCTTTCTTCATCTAACCATCCCTCTTCCTCCATCCCTCCTCTCCTTCTCTATCTCTCCATCTCTCACTTAGTCTTCCCCTATACCTCTCTCTCTCTCTCTCTCTCTCTCTCTCTCTTTCTCTTCTCGTTTGTTATATACCTTCTTAGAGATGATCTTCTGTTCATTTACAAGTCTTTCCAAGATGCTGATATTTGTTTTCACGATGTCTCCAGCCTTTACTGAGTACAGCATACCTGTAAACAAATGATTACAAATTGCTTTCTATTTGCAGCTTCGCCAGTCACAAGAGGCTACGATTATACAGTAAAGCTGGAACATTCCCTTTAATTGCATGTCAAACGTATTACGAAAGCATTTTATCCTCTTTTCTAGGGCACAGACGTAAATGACTGAAAACGTTTTTATCTACACTATCATCTCACCTTTAGGATCTACGTTACCAAGAGGAGCTATCCATACCACGTGACCATCCTTGTCTAATCCCGTCGCTCCTCCTGGCCAATACTTCAAGCAAGGCTAATCGAGCGAATGAAATTAAGGGGAAGCAACATAATTTGTCATAAATTATTGAATTAAGATGTGCTCTCCTTAAATAGCTTTTATTTCTTATTGCACTGTCTATTATTAAAGGCAGGGTATGTTATAGAGCTCGCTACCACTGCTTTAAGGTATTTTCACTTTGCGCCATCTTTTGATGAAGGCGATTTCCGGTTCCTGTATACCCAAGGAGTTCCAACTCCCTGCTGTACGTAAGCAAGTGAACTCTACACTACGCAGTATGAGTTCAGTCACCCAAACATCATCATTAGAATAACCTGACTTTTTAATGTACAAGACAAGATTTATTTATACCCTTTCATAGGAACAAATGAAAATGAAAATGGACTTCGGCTCGCCACTGATTTGCCGTCAGTCTATGAAGACCTATACATGCATACAATATTATCATCATGATGAAAGAATGAGAAAAATGGAAAGAAAGGTTTCACTTCCCCCATCAAAGTAAGTTTTAGCTCCTTCTATCACCTGATTGACTGATACTGCAGATATTGCGAAATTTTACATTTGAACCAGATCTATGAAATTTTGTTCATAAAACAGTAAAAAGATACCTAACCTCACAAAATGATTGTTAACTATAATTGAACTCATTTTTTTCTCTTTAAACTCATCCCTTTTTATTAGAGTTATATAAGGTTACAGTTAGCATATGAATGAAATAACACGTCGAAATAACATTACCTCTGGTATCTCATACCAGTCGTGTATGCTGTCGATATTGTTCTTTATTCGCCAATCCAGATCCTATAAACGAGGGGGGAAATAGGGTGGCTCAAGTTTAATTAAAGTGGGGTGGGTATTAAATTGAACTTTGACCTGTAAGAAAAGTCCTTTTCGTTAAAGAACCTTGCTCTGTTATTGCCTCGATTTTTTGTATTATTAAGTGCATGTATCGTTACTCATCCATCATGATTGATTATGATGATCATGATAATGATAACTACAATTTGGCTATCTACTCTGTCACCACCACAACAAGCAAGTTACATATTATAAAACGTAACCAAACAATTAAAGATTTATTGAAATAATATTCTACGGACTTACTCTATATCATAACTCAACTAATATATCAACAGCATGTAACACAAGGATGAAATCCTTGGAAATGATCGCTGTTTCGATGAAAGTCTTTAAAAAATGATTTGTAACATTAATTTTACCGGCTAGACCTCCCTTTGATACTGTCGTTGGCGGATACAGGCGATAGGGGGGTGAGGGCAAGTGCCCCTGCCCCTTCCCCAACAAAAATTAAAATCTGACATACAAAATGTGCCACCATAATTTTGTGCCTTGTGGATATTTTTTTTTCTTCCTCAAAAGGCATCTGAGAATGTGCCATTGCTGTTGTTGTTGCTTTTCGTACATTTCTTTTAGAATTGCCCACCCCCCCCCCCCCCACCCCCGGCTCAGTCAGAAAATCTTTGGTCCGCCATTTCTCGAAAGTGAAAGTCTGAAAGAAGATTAAAGATGACTCCATGATCGTTAGAGAACTTGTTAATCACCCGGATCAAGTTATATATTGCCTTTGAATGCATCAATATCACTCCTAAAACCTGAGTATCATTCTCATACTGTAGGTCACTGGAAAATAATGTACATGTATGCCAAGACACAACTTTATAGATATTAAATGTTGATATTTTGTGATATTTCAAGTTATATGGGAATGCAGTATTCTCCCCCGTATACCCCTTATTTTCAATTTTCTTACCCGACGGAATTTCTCCTCTGCTTTCTTCACGTTGAAACGGCATGCTAAGAATACAATCATAAAATGAAGGTAAACAAAATGAGGAAAGATTTTTGAAAGCTGGCAAGAAGAATACTTTTACACACCGATGTTTAAAAGTTGTTTTCTCTGTCTGTATTATTTTCCTCTATTTCAATATTTGTTTATCCTCTACAATCGGTTTTTCTTTTCTCTCTCCTTTCTTTACCTCATTCTATGTCAGTATACTATATCTGTCTCAGAGCACATTATGCTTTTAACATAATTAAGTCCTGACTCATCCCCATATTTACACCAAGTCTCCTTTCTGTATTGACATTAATGATCATTTTTTCTTCCCTTTAAACATTTTATGTGACTACGAAACAGGTTCATGTATCGTAAGCATAGTTTCACCCGCTTGCAAGAGACTATCAATGACCGGAAGGAAAGTATGAGGATGGGGGGGGGGGGTTGCTTCTACTTTGAAAGGGGTAGCGTACACCCAACCACCCCTCCCCCTCTCCTCTCCGAAGAAAAACACAGAACATATTGAACTAAGTTCCACCCTTACATGATGCACATGTACATTCATCAAAGATGGCAGAGTTAGTTCGAAGAACTCCTCAAAACTATCGGGAAAACAAACCTGCGTATTGCAAGCTATACTTACCTGAAAAACAATTTTAATAATCTTTAAATCTCTTTGAAATATGATAAACACTACGATCATTTCTAGCTTTGCCATGCTTCATCCCAATCGCCGATTATAACAGTATACATAATTATTTCCAGTAAGAAACCGTTGTTTGGTCATGCGTAGAGGCCTATTCATCATTCAAACAGGCTAAAATGTGATAATAACCAGCATTTATGAATAGCTTTAACAAATGAATTCTTTAAATACATCTTTAGATGTTCTGAACATTATTTACTTTTGCTGATATTAAGTCCTTACCTCTTAAGAATCTCAACAGGCAATGGTCATCATGCTTTTCTTGTAATACTTCATCAAGGTTGGTTCTAATCTGCAAAGTAATTTAGATTTGACAGAAATTACATTTCACTGAAATATTTTGCAGCATTCTTAGCTCAAGAATAATAGCCTAAAGCTTTCTAGAAAAGTCAGCTTTGCTGGAACGCAGTTTAGATCAAAGAGAATTATATCCAAAAGTTGTGATATTGGATAAGAATAATTGCTCAAGTAAAAACAAATTAATGCATGTCATGGCTATTATGCAATAGAACATTTGATTCAGTAAACACATAGTTTCACTTTCTAATAGAGTGAACAGTCATTGGCTCTGACCTTTTAGTAAATTGATTCGTTGTTTTGTCTTCATACCTTGCCATCTTAAATAAAATTTGTATTCTTTTGTAGTATTTGGCGCTGAGGGTATTGCACTAAAAATTAAAACCAAAAGACTTCAATTTTGACGCAATCGCCTCATAATGTCTGACGAATAACACATTACAATAAAATAAATTCCTTTTCACCCCTACCCTGATCACGGTCTGTTGACTGTATACCCTCTGGTCCAGTTACTCAGTAATCAAACTCGTGATAAATGCAATAATTAGATACAGATGTCTAATATAAAACCAAACGTCATAACTATACTTACTGCTTTGAGAGCATCTGCCTGCTTAGCGTTTAAATCCGACAAAGTCCCACTCATATTTGCGCCTTTTCCTTCTCAAGTTATGGTACAAAACAATCTCAGGTATATATTATCATGCAGTACGAGTAATACTCATATAACCTTGATTTGTTGATATGTCTAATATGTATACGTCATGACGTATACATACCAATCTGTATGAGGAAGTAACGAGTATGATATTGATATCTCGCGATGCAAGGTGGCGTAACTTCAAAGGGGTCACGTGCCTCCTCCCTCCCCCCCCCCCCCCCCCCCATCGAATGACGAAGAAAATACGGACCAAACAGAAACAGAGAAAAGTAGAGAACATATTTGGAAGAAAGGATATGGAAACTGATATCTTAGCAATGCTAGTATATCAGTGATCAGGAGAAGAAAAGAAGATGATTGAACGATAAAGCCCACTCCCGCACACTCCCCCTAATCAATAGTTTGTGTAAGTTCGCGAATGACCGGTTCCCCCACCATCCCCAATACAAGTGCCAAGTCCCTCATATCGTACCACGGAAGCCCCGAAGGGAGGGAGGGGTAAACTCATACTACATTAGAAAAGAAGGGTAGTATTACTTTAAACCGAAGCACTCAATACTACTAATCAATATATTATTATCTTCCCCCTCTTTGTTTTAACCTGTAAACGGGAGGGGGGGGCAAGCCTAAGGGAGATACAAAACCCGGTTCGCTCTATGAAGAAAACATCATGCCATAGTAAGGCATTAATTTTCTCCTTATAGAGATTATGAGAGGGGTTCTATTATAGTAATTTAAAATCAAATCATTGTGAAAATAATGCAAAATATTCAAGGAACTAATTATCATTAACATTTTTTATGGTTGGTTTATTGTAAAACACATTAAACGTACAGCTTGATATAAAAATCAAGTATTGATCAATACAAGATTGGAATAAACATGCATGATATATAAAATAAATATTGAGGAATCAAATTTAAAATTCATACTATACATTCTCATTGAAATGACATTCTTAAAAGTAGATGGAGAATATCGTTGATTTGGTATACTACTACTACTACAACTACTACTAGATATCAGACATTATATACGGGGGATGAAATAATTCCCCATATCCCTTTCCACATTTACACCAGGTTTATTCAAGTAATCACAGATTATTCGATTATGAGTAAAGTCTACTAAAAACAAACAAAACACTTTGTCTTCGTCTGATTGCAGACTTTGCCTTCGATGTGTGGTGTAAGATCAATATCATGGACATTTATCATTAAGATAACCACGCACTGCATTTATTAGCGACACTGTCTTCGTAAGACCGCAACAATGATTTTTCAGTTCAGTTCAGTTCAGTTCAGTTTTTTTTTAAGAATATAGATAAAATGTGATTACTCACACTTCTAATTATAGTCTCTTAATCAATTATGTTTGCTGTAACGTATCTAAGTTTTCTTCAATTAAAAAAATACTTCCTCCTTCAATTAGGGATTTTTGTTTCCATTAAAGGTTTGTTTACAATTTCAGAAATAAAAATCAGAGGTCGACCTTACAAGTAGGGGTATCTTTAGATAAAGTAGAATATACATTTTGGATTTGATTGAGAGTCAAGAGAATAAATATTTATACCATGATGCTGCCAGCTATATATCCCAACTATTATCTAAAGATTACGAAGGCTTATCCTTTATGTGTAAATGCTTTATATCTTGTTATTTCTATAATAATCACTATTAACTTGTTATCACTATCAGTTAAATAACTGGTCTTGCAACAAGTTCAATAAATGTCAATTACTTTTTCATTTTCAAAGTAAGAGTTAATAAAACAATCCAATAACTATTTGTAGGTAAGCCATTACAATATATTACGTATAATACTGCAATGATATTTACATCATTATCAGTCCAATAGATAACTGTAAAATCACAGTAATTAGACATACAAACATCTGGCTTCTTGTCAGTAAGTAAAAGAGAGGGCGCCATTTACAAATACACTGCTGGTAAGTTGACATTTTGAGTTGATCTCAATCCCTTCAATCTTGCTACATCATAATCCATCGGATATTAATGTTACTATTCAACATTTCGGATGAGTACAATACAAATTCCACCGAATACTTTATATATCCGGTTCAATGTAATAATATATGAAATTTTACTCCATGAAAATGCAAAAATTGCCAAAAATGTACAACACGACAACAAAGTTATCGACAATCCTTTACAAAAAAATGTATTATTACCTTAAATTCAAATTGATCAAAAAGCAGAAATGTGATACCGCATACCAACTAAGTTGTAAGTGCTGCGGCGTTTTCAAAGAATGTATATTTCCATCATAAAGGTAAAAAAATAAAAAATAAAACAACTTCTAATAAGACAGTAATATGAACAGGGAAACGAAAAGTTCATGATTTTCTAACATGTGTTACGATTCATCAGAGATGGCGCTGTCGGTGAAACTCCGAGCCATCTATGCACAGAGTTTGGCCAACTTGGTTTCACTGGGTCACAACATGGCGTTTATCATTTTGTTTTGTGCTTGCCCAACAAAGCAGTAATCGCCATATTGTGTCCAACTCGAACCGGGTTGGCCAAACTCTGTTTATAGATGGCTCTGATACTGACTTAGTGTCCAAACTCAGTGATATCATAGGATGTCTATGATGGAATTCCTTGACCAAAAAAGAAATACAGATTAATTTTGTTTCCAAAATCAGAGAGACATCAGAGGATGAGAAATGATTTACTGGGTATTGAGAAAAAGAAGAGGGGGACGAAAGAGAGGAAAGAAATAAGAAAGATAATTAAATGCGGTATAATGCTACTCTTCCACTTACGATAAAATTTTATTGATATCTTACTTTGTTTAAAATTGTCATATTGTATGATTCAATTAGACCAGGGATTCATTCCCATTACATTATGCTCAAGCTCGGTGCCACTCAAAGTAGGCGTACAAGACATAAAAGGGGTAAGGGGGTGAGGGGGTGAGGGGGCTGAATTTTAAATCACCAATATTCAGGCAACCGTCACCTCTTATTCGGACATTACAACTTTCATTAAATCCCAGCTGCACTAGTTTGGCCAGGAGGGATTAGACCTCCCTGCATGGTCACCGACAGGTGGTTATCTTATCAATTCAGCTCTTAATAGAAAAAGGGGATCAGGGGGGACCAATGGTCACCGATTAGGCATTGTTTGCTATATAGAGGGCGCAAGTATAGCTGTACTGTGTATGATCGAATCTCTTTGGTAAGTAGTTCAGTGGGGCTGTAAACATATTCTATAAGTTTTCCATATAGTCTGTTCTCCAACAAGAAAAGAAAGGAAGAACCAATATGATTATAAGACATCTGAGATATATACATACTTATATTATGATGAGTTATTATGCAGGACTATATTTTAGTCATTTTCAGACGGAGACCATTCTTACCATAATAGAAATAATTACTGCAATGCCTTTTAAAAATACTTTTGTCTTCATTTCGTTGTTTCATTAACACGTTAATGTGTTAACTATCAAGAAGAGAAAGCGATAATCATACAGGATATTTCAGCTAACCCAAGATGTCATTACCTTTATATTAACATTATGTCAATGATGAAGTAGTAAACGAACAAGGAGACTTATCACATCAAACTACTCTATCAAATCTAACCAGACCGTGGCCTGGGATCGAGACGGATATGTTTAAAGGCAGAATACTAAAAGGTTTAGGAGGAAAGGTAAATTTTGATGACTCAGTGACGGGACTCTCAGTTATTGTTGTTGTTGTTGCTGTTGTTTTAGTTGTAGTTGTTGATATTTTCGTTGTTGTTTTTTGTATATATATGTATAGGCCTATATAATCTATGCATTCTTACTCTAGCAAATTTCATATCACTAGCACAATGCCGTGCTCCAATTACCATAAATGTATATTTGGGGCGTATGCCATTTCTGTATGAAAAAGTGAACGTATGATTGCTAATACGGCGTCGCCCAATTATTTAAGGATTGTGTGCGAGGGGTGTGGGCGCAAACTCATTCCTCGGAAATATACACAGCTTAATAATATTATGACGCAATGAACAACAATGGTGTTTGGATAACAATACACTTATTTTTAACCTTACTGAAATTCTTGAGAATGTAACAATTCCACAGCATAAAATTATACAAGCACTGCATGCACATAAACATGTAAACATTTAGATCTTGAATGTGATGATAAAATAACGAAAGATCATATATTCGAGCTAGAAGTGCGTCTATTTGGAGTCTTCTTCTTCTTCTAAGCACTATCCTTAAGAATGCCATGTACTCTACCTTTAAAGTTCCTCCATGTTGTATAGAGTCTATGCTTGCCGACAGAGTAATAACAAAGTCAAGCCTAAAGGATATCCTGTTAAAGGAGATCAAGGGCGTAGGCTTCATTCTGACACTCAGCTGAAGGCATCGAATATATGATTTAGGAACTATATCTCGAGCCATTTCTGGGGGTTATCATTGTTTAGAGCCGCATGTTTATTGAGATATATATATGATATTTGTGCCATCCATTGTCTTTATTGATTCTAATTGGTTCATTTACATCCTTTTTTCCTTTCCATGTTTTATATCCGTAACTTTGTCTTTCTCTACGCTTACTTGTGTGTCTGCTTTGTTATACTTTTCTCTTCTTTTCACCTTTTTCGTTAGTATCATGATTTGGCTTATTATGTAATTTTGTCATATAATGGGATTTTTTCTGTCACTCTGACATCACTCGAAGACGTGGAAACATATTTTGAAACATTATGCTATCGAGAAGGAAACAAAAGGGGGTTGCTATGTTCGTGTTTGTAAAATTTAATTGTGCTTATATCCGTAATCATGATAATGATTTTCTACAGTAGCTCGACTTCGGTAATTTTACTTTTGTTTCACCTTCTTTATTTGTTCCTCTCTCTCTCTCTCTCTCTCTCTCTCTCTCTCTCTCTCTCTCTCTCTCTCTCTCTCTCTTGTTTTCGAAGTGTTCCAATACTTTGATTTTCCTTTACATTGTCATTTTGTCTATTCTCCATTTCTCTTACACATGAATTTATACACCTGCTTGCATGGAACATAAAAACACAGGAAGAAAGTATATGATTGTACTTGAATGCTTTTATTTCTAGTGCTTCAACTCCCCGCCATTTCCTTAGAGAAATGCCAAGAATAATATAAACCGCTAAAGGGGAAAATAAAGATATAACACCTGCCACCTGTATTCCCGTCTGTGCATTATATCTAACGGTAATTCACCAAAATAGAGTCATTGTCGTTTCCTGAAAGGAAAATATTAGGCTTAACAACACTGGTATCCTGCTACCATTTTTTGTTGTTTATTATTACCACTGTTGCTATTATTTTGTTCCTGTTGTTGCTGTTGTTGCTGTTATTATTCTAGTCAACCTTCCTACGCGGCCATTTTCTTTTTAGTGTATCATAACAGATTGACGCGTCAGCAATTTCCTCCAATTTAACCCTGCTATGGCGAACCTTAACCCGTCTAATTGGTTCTGTCTTTCAGTAGTAATGAACCAAGGAAGTCATTACAACGTACACGTTACATGCTAATTGACAAACTATTCTGAGAAACCATGTACGTTAGTGGAAAAAGAAACAATGACAAGGGGAATATAATTATTATGATTCCGGTTTTGTTATAATATGGACAGACCTATAAAAAAATAAAGAAATAGATTATCTATGTTATGTCAAGTTTAGCTCTTCAGCTCTCGTGTTATTTGTTTAATTAAGGAAGAAGACAAACAAGAGAGAAAATCGAGAATAAAGTAATATGAATATTATAAAAATTCAAAATGAGTGTGCATGAATAAGAACAATCCAAAGTAAATGTTGAAATTACTGTTAAAATCTATTTCAATATAGCAAAAACTCTAGTATAAAAAAAAAAACTACAAAACTCTAGTATAAAACCAAGCAATAAACCCTTTTCACACTTCACTTTTACTTTGCCGTTAATTAGTGTGCACTTGTGGAATATCAGTTTAGTAGGTATATTTTAGTAAGCAGGGAGCTTGGGCATGGATGGATTTCTATTTCCCACTCTAGGCCTCTCTCATTATACGTGTATATTGATATCGCTATGGGAGTTGAAATGGCAAATATCAGCCTGGAAAATATAAACACTATGTTGTAGTTACTCCTCACTGAAAAGAGTATATTCACTTTTGTAGCACTGATCTATTTCTATAAATCATACTTGTTTGTGTCATGAAGGGCCTCAACGAAAAAATTATATGCTGATTGGGCTACCCTTCTTTTTAAAGATGTGTAATAAATAAATAAATAAAAAGTAAACCATTCTGATATTTCTTCAAACTGTATAAGCACTGACAGCTAAACATTTTGTACCCAACAATAACATTATTCATTCCGAAACAAACATGACGAATAAACATTCTCCTACAACATGTGAAAAATCGATTAACAACTAAGTTACCGATGTGATAGAATAAGTCCATAAATAATCTTTGATGAACTAATGGCTGTCGCTATCGTTTTTGTATACAAAGGTATCAACGGCACATAGATGGCCATGGAAGTTAGCAATATGTTATTAGGCCCCAACACCGTGTTGTAGTTTTAAGTGAGTCTGGAATTACGTGTATAGCAGACGATCAACCACACTGCAATAATTAGTGGAAAATGACTCAAAATCCTCCCGCGTAGTTACTCTACATAGCGCTGCTTCTCCAAACCAAATCATACACTGCTTTCAATTATGTATGTAACCGATAACAGCATGGTCTCAGCGAACTCCTGAGAATGTTTCCTTCCGATTCGTACGTTGGCCGATGCTTCACCTTCGCATCGCGTTCTCGTTAAGTTTCAACCAATCAGGTCTCGTCACACGTACCCATCGGCTAAACTCGATAAAGATTTGACCAATCGGAGATATTGTTTGATGAATAAGGGCTTAAGTCTCGTAATCTATAATGGCTACTACCTTCCGCTTTTTATATGAAGTCTATGTCAAGTTTGTTCTAGACTGTCAAGAAGGAGGTTATCATTTAATTCATTTTAGAACACTAAACCTGTCCTGCAGAGCAATCACTAATTTGTTTAATTGTGCCTACTGTCTTGTGTCATAAGCTTTCAATACACGCCATTTATAAATGTTTTTAGAAACCCAGAAGCATGTCATAATTAAGTTTATAATGTAAGAATGGGAGCACTCTAAGGTGCCATGGGTCAAAGTATTCAAACATTTCATTAAGAAGCAAACAAGCAACCAGTTCCTAATCTTGTGTTCTTGGACATAGACATGTAAACTGGAAATATCATACTGCAGCTTTTTTAATAGTGTTCAAGTGATTCATATTGTCGTGATGATATGCGTTCTATCTATTTCAAGTTTTTAAAACTTGTGTGTTTATAGCGGAACGAACCATGGATGAAGAGTATTCGACATGATTTCCATCGTGCTTAAAATGAAGTCTCAAATGTGTTTGTAGATTGTTATAGTTATTGATCACTCTATCTCACTCTTATAACTATTGTAAGCTATCTTCTTGATGTCTTCATATCAGATTTCTGTTCTACCTTGGAATGTAGTTTGCAGGTAGCAAAGTTTTTTTTTAAACCAGATAAATGCATCGAATTTCTATCCAGTAGAAACCTGATTGAGAACTACATCACATTTTCGATCACCTATACTCACCATACAAGGAGACTCAACTCGTGGCCTTAATATCAATTAAGTGATTCAGAAGAGGAGACAGGTGGAAACGAAAGAGGGGGTCTAGGTCTACGTCCTGTCTCCATAGTAACCTGCTTCAAAATATAATTCAAACAAACTTCATCATCGTCGGGCCCGCGTGATTGAATAATGATGACGTCATTCCTGATCCATGCAATGGGATGAAACTGGAACAAGATGGAGAGCTGTCTGACACTCATTAGAATCCTGCTCGTCATAGATCTTGATATCAAGACCAATTCATATCCTCATCCTTAACCTCCAGGGTTCATCAAGACCTGGTATATTCTATTTTTGTTCTTCAGGTTTAACATTAAGCGAATAATCCTGTTGAGGGTGTCCTAGAATAACGATCGGAGCGAATGCTTGTGATATTTCACAGCGAGGTTTGGACTGGGGGTTTATTTCCTCGGGCAAGGCAACCTTAGATCATCTTCTTTGATTCAAGCCATTTCAACCCCAATCAATTTTGCAGGTCACGATTGTTTGCATGTTGGTTGTTCTGGAGAAAATGGGTTCTTAATCAAGATGTCCAAAGTTTGAAGGAAATATTTGAGGAAAATGTATATGTCAAAAGGCTAATCATTAATAAAATAACCCATTTCTATCCTCTATCTATACTTCAAATCATCATTTTCTAAGGGTTGCATTTATGACTAACGTGTATTCGATATTAGAAGCTGATGAACAAGTAGATGACGCGAGAAAGTTAGTGGTATTGATATACTATAGTATTGAAACGAAAGCACTTTGAATCTATCAATGATTATGGGACAGCAAACATAGTGACAATAATGTAGAAAAACAACACTTTTAATCAATATAATACCAATAATATGAGTAGAAGAATTTACTATAAATCTTTTGCTAGCATTTCGTAAATAAAATGTCAAAAGTTCAGTTTTCACTAGACAAAATCAATGAGACATTAAGACCCTAGACTGTTATAAAAACAACAGGCTTTTGCTGAGTAATTAAGCTTGAGCGTGACAGATTTCTTCCATTCTGTTAGATGTTGTTGTTTGCTTTATATTCATCATCTGTCATAGTGGGCTTGCGATGTTCAAATGGCGCGTGCAAACACCCCCTCCCCAGCGCAGAGCGGTGCTCACGTTTCCTGCTGAGAGAGGGGGTAAGGAGGGGGATTCAAGCGAGGGTTCGGGGCGCGTGCCAAATTTAGATCCAAGTTGTTTGTCATCGGTTGTGACTCCTAGCTTGGCCAGTGGTGTTTCGATAGACAGTGCTTCATCTCTGATGGAACACGCTTCAGACATTGATCTAGAAAGCAACATGGACGGTGGACACGTCCTGGGAGACGATAGGACGACGGCGAGGGCGAAATCGAATAACGGAGTTCCAAACGGAGATTGCAGTGTTGATAGTGATGTCTTCGGTGATTCGAAACACGATTATTTGAACAGAACGGATTCACATGGTTATGAAACTTATGGTGTCGGGTTTGAGAGTTTCAGTAGCGATGCGTTTGGAGATTTGACCGCCGTTTTGGAAAATACGGACGGACTGGAAGATGACGACTACGAGGATGATTTCACCGACGATGAGGACGTCGATGAGGAGGGCGAGGAATGTTCACCGATGCTACCGGCCGCAGCACCAAGGAAATTAATGAGATATCCACGCATAGATGAGGATGATGGTTATGGGGATAGCTTTGATACCAGTGGGAAGGCAAAATCAATAGAGGAGGGAGAGACTGAGGATGGTAAGTTTTTAATCCATCACTCTTAAAAAGTACCATGTAAAATTGAATGTGCCATGAGGGTAATTATGCAGCCATCTAACTTTGGGAATTTTGTTAAAAAAAAAAACTTGGTTGATATTTTTCCCAATTTTAAGTTGGGTATGGAAAAAGTTGGTTGGATTTTTAAAAAAACGTGAGCTCGGCGAATCTGTACCCAATATTTGTAATACTTATCGAAAACTGTATTCAAAACCCGTTTTGTAAATAGAGAGAGATGGGGGGGGGGGGTAAATTCTGTTTATATCTTAAGGCTGATGATGGAGTCGTCGGTCTTATTACATAGCTTAATTTTTAATGTTAGATGTTTTCGGTTAGTTTTCATTTTTACATTATTATTGTGTTGTCTTTTGTGGAGTCATTGATAATCATCGCCCAGAAATACAGCTCCTGATACAAATTCTTCGGTCAACGTTTGAAAAGTTTCAAATGCGTAAAATTGATGTTTTTTAATGTTCCTCCTATGATTTGTTTATTCTAATTAGTAAATAAAATGTTACTACAGGTTTACGTAGCAACAATTAGATACAAACACATTTGGTACAAAAGACCGTGGAAGGAACACTGATGTATACATCACAGACGTTTTGAATCAACGTAGTGATAATATGACTATAGATCTTGCTAAAGATTACAGTGAAAGTCAGAGACTGCGTGAACATTAGTGGCCTAAAATTTGGACGAGAGGTTGAGAAAACTTCTGGACAAATTCGGAAAATGAAGAAGTCTTAAAAGCATATTCTTTTTTCAGATCGCTTTGCTACTATCATATTCTTCCATATTGGAATTTAAAGATAATGGAAAAGATCACAAAAATGAATTCACCTCAACCTCAACTTTCTCTTCACCTTGAGACGGTTGAAGATAGCCGTGTAGTAACACTAGCTGCTACTGCGAGATTCTTCCACAAAAATGGCATAGAAATACATACATTTTTTATTGATGAAAAGGCTCACAGTTCTTTTCCTGAAACCATAATTTCTCTTTAAATTGAGAAGGAATGAGATAGCATTCGCTGTGACATTGCACTTTTATGTCCCGGATGATGTCATTGATTAAGTTAGATTAAAAAGACTGGATTTCCCCCAAACCCTCTACCGCATGACAGCTAATGATGATGAAGGTTCCTGAACAGTGTTTATTACACCCTGATCATACATGAAAGTACCTTGGCAGTACGTGTTATGATTATATAAATTTCTAACCAATATTTAAGTATGACTATTCTTGAATGACTAGCAAGACAGTCTGGTCACCAAGACTTACGAAAAATAAGTGGGGAAAATGAAAAATAAGAATTGAAGTTGAATTTGAGGGTGATATTTTATAACATACATGAAAACGTTGATCTACACTCACACTCCACCACTTTAGGTTTTAAACTTTCATTTATATAAAAAATATCAAAGTAATTTTTGTTATCCAGAGCCGATTTAAAAAAACAGGCCTTCTCGTACACAGCAGCAAAGTTATTCAACTCACTACCCATACTTACCAAATGTTCCGCCTTACTACCAATTTTTAAACGAAATGTCCGTGAAATTCAAGTGAGATGATTTTGCGATCGCTCACATGAAGTATTACTACCACCCTCTCTCTCTCTCTCTCTCTCTCTATCTCTCTCTCTCTCTCTCTCTTTCGTTTACTCTCTCTCCTCTTTCATTTTCATTTAATTTCCTATTTGTATTAAATGTTTTATAGTTTGTTTATATTATGTTTTTTTTATCATTGTATATTTTGTGTATTTGTATGTGTATTGTAAGATATTTGAAATGTAATTTGTTTGTGACAGCAGTGCTCCCTTGTAAAGCAGGCCTCGCGGCTTGAATGGGACTACCCTGCATTTTATAAAGAAAACATGAATAAATAAATAAATAAATCATGGTAATACAAGACTATTTTAATAACTCAATCTTATGATAAAGTAGAGGTCTTTACCAATATTTTCATTTTGATTGGGGCTAAACATCCCTCAGCTTTTCTTTGTAATGTGGTCAATTCTATATGATATTGTTAGACCTAATCAACGTGACTAATTTCATACCTTATAAGTGACTTATATCGTTTTTACAGCGTATCGATATCACATGAATCATTCATATACAATGCAACTTATCATCTAGAAACCGATGGAAAACAATTTTGTGTATATATCAAATATAGAAAATAAAGCTTGAATCTTGGAATCTCGACAACAGAACTCGTAATTCCTGTCTAAGCGCTAGCTGCTCTCCTAATTGAACTATTGTCGCACTATCAGCTGACTGTCATCATAGCTTATGTCACTATACTCTACTAATCATTTCATCCGGAGTTTACAAAGAGAATCTGAAGGCGATATGACAGAGTAGGATACAATGTTTCAGACTGTGTATAGTTCTACCCAATTCCTTGTGCGTAGGACTCCGAAAGGGATATTGAAACGAAAGAAAACAAAAATACGCCTACAATTACCCTGATAATGTTCCTATGCATTGCATCGTACACCATTCATAATTTTCCGGTGTCTGCAACCAAACTTCATCTTTTTCATTCTAATAAAAAATAATTAAATTTGAAAATTATAAAAAAAAGTCATGAAAATAATTAAATTAATTTGAAAATTATCAAGTGTTAAAATTCGATAAATGGGCATATATATTTTTTTGTTAATGAATTCGGGTAGCCTATTTATTATATTTTTTTAATGTGGGGGGGGTATTTATATTCCGCCTAAGTGCTATCAGGTTGCTTGTGATATGAGGCTTGCTTATATTAAACCTTCTTTGATAAATAGTTTTGAAGTGAAATTATAGATACTGCTTGTGTTGAACTGCATAAAGTGTTTTTTTCTCCTGCACACGATCTGACTCACGAGAATATTAATCACTAGATAGCTGTAAATTGGCAATGTCCTCGGGGTGTCTGTAAGAAGGACATTGGAGGGATTAAGTCATTTTCAAGTAAACAGATGCTGTCAGAATATTTTTCAACGAAATATGTATCATATAGCGAACTCATGGAAAACATTGTAAAATGAAGTGTATGTACAAGTATATTGTAATTGAGTGATAAGAGTGTGCCTTTCATAATACTAAGTATGTATTTTTCTCTTTTCCTACTTTCTTTATATAACGATTCTGCCTGAATTTTCTCTTAGCCGAAAGTTTTGTCCCTTTTGTTTGGTTGAAATGTACCATTCAAATATCTTGTTCTGCAAATCTACAAGATTTTAAGCATTGATTTCTCTATCCACAATGCTAGCGGGAGTAAAGAGGATATTTCCTCTATAGCGTCATAGAAATTTAAATTTATGACGACGGACAGGTTTGTCAATCTTTGTGTAAATTGGCCAACTGGGCACCCCACCCCTTTCATGAATATTGGATTAACAGTGTGAATTATATACTTCCAATTAATGTGTTTACCCCCCCCCCCCCCCCCCGAAAATCGACGGACACCCCTGTTGATTATGTAGTAAAGAGATGACGCATAGGGAAGGCCACTGATGTTTCCGTTTTGCGGCTCAAACCGATTACGTGTGAAGTGGAAAAAGACAGTCAAGATGACACATACAGGACTCCCTGTATTCTATTGACTGTTTATAATCATTAAACAATGAAGTAATTCTAGATGGTCGATCTTTATCTTAGAATATGATTAGCCCTACGTCGCCTTAAAAGGGTAAACTTATCGCCAAAGTTATTCATAATTGTTATCAAATTACAAATCAAGATTTGTACAGAATTAAATTGGACCTACATTATGCTGATTGTATCAAGTAGCTATTTTTAACAGCATTGTTGTTGAAATAATAAAGTAATGCCATCAGGATAGTATCACCATTTCTTTTTACAATTCTTCAACAAATTACTGTACTTACTTTTGAAAGCGAAAACTGAAATTAAGTATATACTTATTATTCATTCAGAAAAAAAAATTCACTGGTATGAATTTTACAAAAACAAATTTTACATCTACAAATGGAAAAATCTTAAGCGGTTACAATATTACTACATGTATAACAACAACAAAAACAACTAATACTTCTACTACTACTAGTAGTACTACTTCTACTACTACTTCTACTACTACTTCTACTGCTGCTGCTGCTACTACTACTGCTACTAAAAGTACTACTCCTACTACTACTTCTACTACTACTTCTACTGCTGCTGCTACTACTACTACTACTACTACTTCTTCTACTGTTGCTGCTACTACTACTACTACTACTACTACTACTACTCCTTCTAATACTGCTTCTATTACTGCTGCTACTACTACTTCTGCTACTACTTTCGTTACTATTTCTAATACTACTACTACTACTTATACTACTTCTACTTACTCTAGTACTATTACTACTACTTCTATTACTACTACTAATAATAATGATTAATACTTCTTCTTCTTCTTTTCCTTCTTCTTCTCCTTCATCTTCTCCTCTTTTTCTTCTCTTTTCTTTTTTAATTTCTTAATCAGTTAAGTGCAAAATATTCCCTTATGAAATAAAGCTCGGTCGGAGAATTTTGCGTAAGTGTTAATTTTTGACCTACAACGTTTTCTTTCCGTCCTGAATCTTATCTTCGTTGTCGTATTGTGACCATGATCCCCAACTACTAGTAAAAATATATTCCTATACAGCCTACATAATTAAACAAAAGCCGTAGGCTCAGTGAAGACAGCAGTGATCATCTCCAAAATGGCATGTTAAAACTAACAACCACAAAGTCATCTTCATTCTGCATGCTTTAAGGCAAAGCAAGATTAGCAACCAACTGTTCATATACGGTGTATTTATGATTTTATTTTTATTTTTCATAAACCAAAATGTCAAAGGTAGAGTGTCTGGGAAGGGGTAATTGGTTGCTTCAGCCAATGGGGAAGGAGGAAATTCGAAAGGTTTCCGTCTCACTCTGGATAGGAAGATGACCCACTGGGTTTAATGACATGGGTTCTGCCCCTGCCCCAACGATCTCAAA